AAATGTATCCAGAAAATAGTGTCAAGTTATAGATAAAACATGAACTTTGGTCAAAAAATGAATATCAGAAGGGACATAATTCTATCCACATGTCTATGGCAAATCCTGTCATTACAGTCAGTCCTCCACATTTGCAGTGGTTAGGAGTGCAGGACCACTGCAAAAGTAGAAAAACTGCAAACATCTCTAGCCTTCTCCCAACCTTAACTGGCCCAATGTATCCCAATGAGAAAGGAGGGCAAGGTAATGCCTGCTAAGGCTGGAGTGATCCACTGGAAGGGCCCGGATCATGTCCAGGGTCACCTCCCTGTGCCTACTGGGTAGGGAGGAACAGGCCCCTCTTCCAGCCATGGATAGTGCCCAGCCCTGCTTTTAATTATTGGTGGCAAGCTTGGCAATAATGAAATCCACAAAAGTTAACCCTACAAAAGTTGAGTTTGGACTGTACATGAGAAATTGCTTTGGATATTTTACATGTAAATGACAACACATAGCTAAAAATTGCTTCACTATTACTCATTTGGTGATACAACACAAATACATACCTGAAATACAGATTAAGTCAACAAGTTCAGTAGTACTGCTCAAATGAAGTAAATAATGTATGTGTGTGTGTGTGCGGGGGGGGGGTCCACTCAAATTTTTCTACAGAAGTTATATATAGACATAAATATGTTTCTGTATTTTCTTTTTTCTTTCTTTCTTTTTTTAAAGCAGAGCTAGCACAGTTAGGGGAAGAAATACCAGTTCTGTAAGCATTTTGTGCCCTCCCATAATTCTCCATCTGACGTCAGGAACACTCATAAATGAGTAAATGTAGCCTGGCATCTGAGCATATGCTCAGTATATAGGATTAATTGCCTCAAAGAGTCTCAGTAAGCATGTAAGGGCTCCAGTGGGCACAATGATTGAAGAGAAAGCCTTTGCTTGAACAAATCTCTACTTGCACATCAGGACACTTAGGTTTCCAACAAACTGAATAAAATGTAAAATTGTTAATATGGCAAACTGGAAATTGAAGTTTGTTTATGAGCAGAACTTATGTTACTTCATATGAAAAGAAAGAACTTGCAAAGCTGAATCAGTGCATCTTTTGTCCCAATTTCAGCTAATTTAAAGAAAAGATGTTAATATATTGAATGATGTAGCATGCAATTTATTATTTACCAAACCATTTTTAAAAGTTCAGTCAGACACGATTTCAACAAGTGCTAGAGTTATACCGACTTCCAATAAATTACATAAAAAAATACTCGTTTAAAGTATCTTTTCTGCAGCATTAACTCTTACCTTGATGGTATTCTTAATATTGCAATGCTGCATGCCAAATCCCTACAGAAACAACATTTATGGATGTTTTAAATATAGTGATTAGGGAACAAATTTATAATATGTAAGCATTAGAGGATTCAGTAAATGTCAGTGCAATACTTATTAGCTAAAGTGTGTGATACCAATGCAAAAGAAAAAAATTAAGCATACAGCTTCATAACTGGTCCCCTATCAAATTCACTGAATGCTTCCATAGCCCCACTTCATCCAGATTATTGCCATATAATTGTACAACAAACAAATAATGAATATTAGTCATTCTTTTTGATACAAAGATGCAAATACAGCACAATAATCTCAGTCTAGCTAGGTTTCAAGATTAAAGACCCATGCACTCAGTGGGACTTGGATTCATTCCAGACACACAATCAAACCATGCTTTGTTAGTACATGAACAAGCCCCATTTTCATCTACTCCTACTCTGTCCACTCTCTGTGTCTGCTCTGTTTAATGAGGTATCTCCGTTTGGTTTTTGGGAAACCTCATTCATTCATTTTCTATAGCAGGAGCCAAACCATAGCTGACCACTACATTCAAACTGGCAGACTATGGTTTGTACTTGCCCAAAAATCTAAGACTGGAAACTAAGGATGGAAGGAGGGGAGGATGTGAGCACAGGCCTATTTCCCTAGTGTGAAACCATGGTTTAGCACTACATATGAGCCCACACTTAAGCACTATTTCAGCTGGATTGAGTGTTGCATATTTAAACTAACATTAAACACAATTACTTTTATTAAAAAACTCAGGAAAGCCTATGCTCATCACAGATGTTAAAGACAACAAAACAAGATGTCTTTTGGATACCAGTTCTGTTAGGTAGCTCTATTGCTTTCACTAGGACTTGGTGGACAGATATTAAGGAATTTGAAATACGTACCAAATCAGGTCAGGATAGTGCATCCAGAAGTTCAGCTGATGCCATTGGATGAACTACAAGGCAAATACTAACAGAGTTCCAAACAAAAATTTAGCAATTGTGAACCACAAAACTGAATGCTGAAAGGAACTGTGCTAAGTTTTTGATCTTAAGGAATTGTCTTTCTAGATTGCAACTGAAGAATATAGCTTGGAAAATGATAGAAATGCTGAAGGAATGCTGAAGGAAAGCTGTAAATTACATCACCTTTTATAAGTACAAAAACAGTTCAATAGGGAAAGAAAAAAAGTACATATGATCCTCACTCTTGCAAAGAAAAGTGTTAAACTTATTTTCAGCAGGCTACATAGAGCCCACCAAAACTTATTCTCTCCTTCTGCCATTACATTTCCATTCTTCCTGATAGCTCAGCTATCTCAGGCATTGAAACAGTATTCATATAATTATACTCTGCATTAGCTTTACTTGATTACTGTTTTCAAAAGATAGGTCATACTTCACTAGTACAACTAGATATCTAGAGATGTCTTTGGAGCATTCCTAGAGAGGCACAGATATAAATCCACAGTTTTTCAGGATGTATAAGTAGGATCCAGAAGGAAGGTATTATTCTAACCATACATCACCTTTTAAAAACAACAGATAGTTACTATGTGACAATTTCATATTTTGGCCTCTGCTGGAATAACTCCATCAATACTGCTAGGGAAGAAATGGACCTAAATGGCAGCTAAATGACCCTAACACATACTTCCTTTTCTTAACATTATGGCATGCATAGGACTGTAAGACATATAGTATGTGTAGAAGTTCAGCTTGCTAGGAAAAGAAATCACCTTATTTTGATTTTGTCCTTTCTATTACCAGCCTGTATAGACAAAAAGTTTATAACCACCCAAGTTAAAACACAATTTACAGATAGCAGTGCCTTAGATGTTCTGTGCACAGCATCCAGAGCATGTACTTTATGAAGCTTACTGGAAACATGTATATTTCAATAACAAAAGTGGAAAATTAGCCACTAAGTCACATGCATAAAATGAATGGCTGAAAAAAAAAATCATTTCGGATGGTGGGGGGGTTGCTTTCAATGAAATGCTGATCAGGCTCTTTGATCCAGGAGGAGTTGCCATGAATGGAAAGGAGAGGGAGGCTATTTTTCAAATTCCCATTGTCTTGCAATCACCTTGTCTATTGTTCCAGAGGGTTCCCAATAACTTGGGGCAGATTTGAAGGGAAGGTTGAAGTGGTTGCATGGAGAAGGGGAAAGCAGTGGAAATCACCTCCTCTCCATTTCTGCTAATGGAAACTTCTACGAACAAAAGGAAATCAGTGGATACAAGTCAGTATTATTATCTTGCTCCAAGTACTCAATAAGGAAAAGAGGAAGATTAAAAAAAAACATAATTTACACTTCTAAGTTAAGAGTCACAGATTTGAGTCTGTAAAACAGTAAGCACATGTGACTTTAAACATTCAAAATTGTTCAATCAGTTCTATAAAGCTCATTTAGTATAAACAAGTAGTATTTCTGTTTAAATATTTGCAGGTAAAGTTCCTACAAGAGCGACACAACTTAAGGAAACATCTTCCTTTCTCCTTAATTCAATGACAAAGATCGACCAACACCATCCACTGTTCCTTTTTCCAACGCTTTCAAGTGCAATTTCAGCATGAGGCACACTGGATATGTTGGAAATGATTTCCCCAATGTGCTCACACAGAATCAAATACATCTTCTAAGGCAATATGTTCACCTTACACATTCAGCAGAAGGAATGGTAAAGCAGTGTTCAGATAATGGAAGTTACCTGCAGAAGAATAAGATTTTAAGAACATACTACACAGCTAGAAGTGGGAACAGTTCTCTTCACGCATCATTAATTTCCAAAGAGGGGTGTCACATTTTTTTCACATGTGGAACATCTTTAAATTCTTGGTCATTTTGAACTGCAAGAGATACAAAACTGGGAGAAACGTGTGTTTGTTGGTGTTTAAGTTACTCTATAAAATTATATATATTTGTACTTAAAATGAAATAATGAGAATTAGTTGTATGGTCTTTGAAACATCCAAAGAGGTCAGACAGAATTACTAGTAACAGAAAATTAGATGTGGAGCAGTGGGTAAGATTGGTTAGTAGTGCCAATAACTATATATCTGGGAATAAGGACTAGAATTGTTTTATCCTCCTTCCCTCAGCACATCAAAAGTCGATCAGCCATTAACTTATAACAGAAAGTTGGGTTAGGATGTAAGTAGCCTTGATTGTTGTGGATTGTTAGAAAAAGCATGTTGCAGCGTTTTAAATTAATTACTACTCCTATGGAAGATCATAGTGAATAAATTTTATTTTATTTTCTAAAGGCAGAAAGAACCTGCCATATTTATTGCTGGATACTACAGCAATCAAACCAGAGCCAACATAGCAATGTTGTATTTCTCTGCATAGATTAAGAAGTTGATATAAACTTAGACTTCCCTTGAAAACAAATATTGAAGGGTTTGCATCCTGATCCTTGACACATTACCTAGAAGTAAATCTGAATTGTATCGGTGAAGCTTACAACTATACAAGTATGTTTAAGATTGCAATATTAGGTATCTGTACAGAAACAGGGGCAAAGGATACCTACCCACCCATCCAACACATTCTCTTCTCTACTTTTGGAAAGGCAGTGGACAAGTTTTACTTGCTCAATTAAAGTAATGCATTTCTTCTGTTTCTTGAGACAGTGTAGTTTTCAATTCACATGATTATTGGTATCAAACACAACTTTATGAAAGCCCTCTTATAAGTAGTTTTATTCCTATTCATTATGGCAAACAATGACAAAAAACAACTTATCTGAGATCTTCTTAAAAAAATAACTTACAAAGCAGTGATATACACAGCACAAAACAGTTCAGATGGGGAGAGGGAAGCAGTTCTTTTAGTAGTTAAAATGTAAACGTGAAAAAAGATGGAATAAAAGTCCCTATTTCTTATTTCTACTTAAGATGTCATGTGATAATATTTTACAATGTCCTGCAGGTCTATATATGTATGTGCGCATATCTATGTCTCTGTAACACACACATACATACACCTATCCCTACATATACATACACAGATAACTGTTTGCAGTTCAGTCTTGGGCAGCTCTGATATGCCACAAATTATAGATGATGAAATCAGATCAGGACCCACTTTCTTCACAAAACTGGAAAGATGGATGGGGGAAAAATGATGGGTCCAATTGTGGCAGAGATCTTTTCTGTTAAACTGTACACAGGGATGAGTAAATTTTCTTCTTTAGTAGCTCTCTGGAGAGGGCCAACTCAGTGCAGCCTTCACGAAGAGACTTGGTAATGGATCACACACTCATTGTCATGCTGGGGGAGTACTGAAAAATAGGAATCCACATTTTAGCAGCAAATAATTCACTAGGCTACAATTGCACTTGTGACCCCAGTCAAAATTTCATGTAAAGTTCATGCGTGCATATCTAGCTTTTTAATAAACACAGCTATCGTATGGAATATGGGATAATATATTGCCTGCCTACCATCATTTTAAACGTCATATAAGCAGTCCCTGATTAGACTGAACACATATGTTGCAAAGGGACATATTAAGCAATACACAAATACCAAGGTAACTATTTTGTGGATGCAGGAATCCCTTAAATGGAGCTCAGAAAATCATAGAATAATAAAGTTGGAAGGGTCAAAAAAGGCCATCAGGTCCAACCCCCTGCTATTGCAGGTCACTCAGATGACTGTCTGGTTTCTTTTTGAATGTCTCTACTGTGGGAGAGCCCATGACCTCTCTTGGTAACTGATTCCACTGTCATATTGCTCTGACAGTGAGGAAATTTTTCCTGGTATCTAGCCTGAAACTGGGTTGTCACAACTTGAGTTGATTGTTTCGTGTCCTATGCTGCAGTGTGAGAAAGAAGAGTTCCTTGATTCTCCACTTTGTGACATTGTTGAAGTACTGATAGAGGTGATCTACTGTAAACATACTTGTTTACAAAGATATTGTCTCTATGTCTCAACTACTGAAGAATCAGAGTTTTGATTCCACTTCATGTGTAATTTAATGAGCATATGTTTTCAGGAAAAATGTGTTTAGCTCTTCATAGCTTTGGCTCCTAGTTCTGTTTGCTTCCTTTATGATAACAATCTTGAAAGATTATCCATATTCATTTGGCCTTATTTCAGAAACATCACAGAAGGGAGACTAGCATATGTAGTTGCAACAGGATATTTACTTGTACTACTAGAGACAGACCCCAATAATTATATTACTAAAGAGTTACAAATGGAATAATTGAATTACTAACTGAATTGAAATGCCACATCAGGTCTGTCCACAGTTTTAGGTAGAACTCCTGACTAAAGATACGGATGTCTTAGCTCAAACTGATTTCAATACTTAATGGCTATACTGATAGCAACTGAAAAACCTCTGTGACATTATGATAGCATGTCAATAGCTTAATAAACTTTTGATAGTGATTTAACACATTTATTTAACACATTTTAACACATTTATTTAACTAGACTGATCCTGTATCATCTCAAAGAATTTCAAAGAATAAGCAGTGATTAAAAACCTCATTCTAGAATCAAATTATAGAATGATTTTAGAAGCTTGTTTTTTCCTCTCCCCTGTTTACAGATAATAGCAAAAAAAAAAGATCCTTAAAATCAATTAAGGGTACAATCCTAGGCATCTTTAAACAGAAAAATAAATCTACAGCAGTCCTTAAGCAATCATGGAATAAAAGGGGAGGTACTCTTATGGACCACAAATTGGTTAAAGAACAGGAGACAGAGGGTGGGACTAAATGACAACTTTTCCCACAGGACAGATATAATCAATGGAGTCCCACAGCGTTCTGTATTAGAACTAATTCTTTTTAATTAAGAATAAGTGGTGAATTGACCAAGTTTGCTGATGGTGCTACACTATTTAGGATGCTCAAACCCATAAGTGATTGTGAAGAGCTCCAAAGGGATCCACCAAGCTGGGAGAATGGACATTAAAAAGGAAAATGAAGTTCAGTATGAAAAAGTGTAAAGTAATGCATGTTGGGGCTAAGAATCCCAACTACAAGTATATGCTGATGGGATCACAAGTAGCAGTGACTGAGCAAGAAAGGGATCTTGAAGTTGTAGTGGACAGCTTGATGAAAATGTCAGTCCAGTGTGTAGAAGCTGTGTAAAAATCCAATTCCGTGCTAGACATAATTAGGAGCAGAACAAAAAATTGAACTGCCAAGATCATACTCCCCTTATACAAATTCTTTGTATGACTGCACTTAGAGTATGTGTCCCGTTCTGGTTGCCTCACCTGAATAAGGACATAATTGAACTGGGAAGCATACCAAGAAGGGCAACAAAAATTATCAGGGGGCTGGAGCATCTCCTCCATGAGGAGAGGCCACAACAACTAGGACTGTTCAGAGAAAAAGGGTGAGTAAAGGGAGACATGAGAGAGGTGTTTAAAATTATGCATGGAGTGGAAAAATGGAAAGGAAGACATTTTGCTCTCTTTCCCACAACACTTGAACGTGGAGCTATCCTATGAAACTGATTGGGAAATTCAGGAAAGTTCAGGAAAGAAGAGAAGTACTTCTTCACATGATGCATAGTTGAAATTCACTGCCATGGGAAGTGGTGATGGCCACCAATCTAGATTGCTTTAAAAAGGCAGAAAGTAATCAGTGGGTACCAGTCTTGCTGGCTGTGTGCTACTTCCTTCACCAGAGGTGGCATGCCTGCATATACCTGTTGCTAAGGAACTTGGTCAGGCAGAGGTCTTGCATCCCTCCTGTTTGAATCATCCTTGGGCTGCTGGTTTGCCACAATGTGTACAGAATGCTGAACTAGATGGACCTTGGTCTGATCTAACATGGCTTTTCTTATGTTCTTAGTCTTATTCTTACAACAACAATCCTGTGAAGTAGGTTGGACTGAGAGTCTGCAACATGCTCAAAATCACTCAGCTCCATGGCAGGGTGGGGACTAGCACCAAGATCTCCTAAGTCCAGTTCCACATTCTTAACCATTATACCACACTGGCATTGTTGTGCTGGTATAGAGCATTATGAGTTGACTGCAAGACTTTCTCAGAAAATTAGGATAATAAGATGATTGATAGCTATAGATCAAGTTTTTCCACACAGGTAGTCCCTGTTGTCATATTCTGCATGAAGCAATATCCCCATATCACATTCAGCTTGGTATCATCTTTGTTCTTTCATTGAGTCCTCATTAACAACAAGATAGCAATGTTCCTGCATTACTTAGGAATATCCTTGATTTTACTTGTACACTATTACCCTTCCAACACAGTAGTTTTTTGAACTGCTTCTTTGTTGTTAACATCAGAAATAAGATGTTTGTCCTGATCTGTAGTTTTCTGCTCCTTTGCAAATATTTAATAGCTTGAGAATTAGCAGATGCTTGGTAGCATAATTCCATATTATTTTTCATCAGGATGCCAAACAGATCCATATATACTTTTATGAAGTTGGACACAATTGCAAAATGGTATATCTACAGAAAACACCACTAGTGTTTTGATTTCAGCACTGAGTATTTTCAAGTTATGCAGTTTGATTGGAAAAACTCTCAGTAGCAGAGCACAGTTGCTTAAACAATGTATAAATAGTGTATCCAACCACTACTATCAATAGTGTATCCAATCACAATCATTCAAGGCAATCTTGTTATACACTTGGTATTATCGTGCTTTCAGTAATCGACAAGATGTGCATTATGGCCTCCTTGTATTTTTGCATTAATGTGTTTGCAGCAAATTTCCATTCAAATGCAGCTGGAATAATATGCAGCCTTTCCTCATATTGTCACAATGCTCTTGTCACAATGCTTTCATCTTGTTATGAAATACACCAATAAACTGCAGACCAATTTATTCCAGAGAAGCTTGGTTTGTCTTGAGTGTTTGTTCTTGATCAGGTTTTTTGTAGCAGAGAGCTTCTCTGTAGCAGATCCACACCTCTGGAATGGGTTGCCATCAGGAGAACATTAAGGGGTTTTTTTTAGGAAAGCCCTAAATATGTGTTTATTTTCTGTGGTGTTTCCCTGATTTTGTTGAATTATTCTGTTTTGCAGGTGCAATTTTAGTATGGTAAACATTATTGGTACTGTTTGCTATCTCATCATTATATCAGTTTTTTACCATATGGAATTGTATAATTATAAACTGGCTCAGGATGGCACTTGCCCTGAAAGGCATCCTAGAAATATTTTGAATAAAGTAGCTGCATCATTACTAGTCAATATGTGGGAAGACAGCTGATAGAGTTAACCCAATCATAAGACAAGAATTATGGCATCTGGAAATTGATGTCACTTACAAATATACCCTACTTTGATAAAATGCAGAAAAAATACAATTTTGTTGGGAGAGTACCATACATCAGTGGTGGGGAAACTTGAAACTGTTTTCCAGCTGACCCATGAAGATGTGGGTTTCCTCTGCAGAGCCTGCTCACTCCCATCTCCAATTCTGACCCCATGGACTAGCAATAATGAGAAGGCTCCCAGCATGTTGTGCCTCTTAATAACTGATAGGGCAAGCAGACTGCAGATTATTATCTCTGAACACAGATCGAAAATAACAGAGAGACTCCCTTTATCGAGCATGCTGTTCCCTGATCTAACTGTAAGTGTGGAGCTTCACTAGCCAAAATGACAACTAGAACAGTTGCCGCTGTTACTTTGCCTGGGGACTAATACGGTTAGTGACTCTGCACGGCACGCACTGCCCTCATGGGAACACTGTAGAAAGCCGGAGACTCAGCCAGCATTAAGAGGTGTAGGCACTAGTTGAGTCGATTCTCTGTATTGAGTGAGGCACAGAACTCTGTCACTCCCAGCATGCAGAAAAGTAAAATGGTCAGGGCAATTACATCACTCACTGTGGCTGCACCAACTAGCAGTAGCTGGGCATGGCCCTGTTCAATAATGTCATCCAGCCTAACTCTAAGCAGCCTAAACTTTAAACCTGCCCCCCACCCCAGCTTGGGCATTACGTATGGGTATTAAAAACAGAGGGCTAGAACCAAACCTGATCATACTTAGGGTAGAGATTCACTGAAAATAACTAATCATTGCAATACATTTTTTCCAAGCAATGCTATGTCTGTAACCAATCCCAAATCTGTAAGCCTGACATGTAAACAAGGTGGCAGACATATGAGGGGTGTTCAATGTATTCGCAGTATTGGGTTGATTTGCTATTGATGTGGGTAATTTAATTATTTCATCAGCTAATGACACTATCTGAGAGTATATATGCAAAATTTCAAATAAGTGTGATCATTAGTTCCCTAGTAATCCTCAGTGAAAGACGACCATAATGACTGACGCAACAATGTTGAAGAAAATTGAGCACCACGCTGTGATTAAGTTCCTTACAAAACAAGGAAAAAGACAAAAAATCATTCACGAAGAGATGGTGGCCATTTACCAGGACTCTGCACCTTCATTACCTACTGTTCAAAAGTGGTCAAGTGAATTTAAAAAGGGCAGAGAAAGTATTGAAGACGACCCTTGCTTGGGTGGGCCGGTTACTGCCACTATGAAAGAAAATGTGAAAAAAAATTGAGAAACTTGTATTGGAAGGTGCCCGAATAAAAATCAAAATGTTAGCAGAGATGACAAACCTATCCGTTGGTACCAGATTTACTATTTTTCATGACCATCTTAACCTTTCAAAGGTCTGTGCAAGATGGGTGCCGCAAGTGCTCATGGCGCATCAGAAGCAAATGCGAGTCCAGTGCTGTAGGGAGTTTTTAGAGCTCTGTGATGAAGATCCATCAAGTATTTTCAACCGGATTGTTACTGGAGATGAAACCTGGGTTCATCACTACAACCCTGAAAGTAAGCAGGAGTCCATGCAGTGGCATAAAAGAGGTGCTGACCCTCTGAAGAAATTCAGAGTCACTCCATCAGCCAGAAAAATCATGGCCACAGTGTTTTGGGACTCAAAGGGAATTTTATTGAGTACACGAAAAAAGGTGCAACCATAAACACAGCTTCTTACGCAACCACTCTGCGTAATATAAGAGAAGCAATTAAAGAAAAAAGGTGGGGAAAACTGACCACAGGTGTGTTGCTTCTTCACGACAACGCGCCTGTTTTAGAAGGCTGGTGTGCAAGACTATGGTTTCGAAAAAATAAACCACCCACCCTATAGCCCAGACCTGGCCCCCAGTGACTACTACCTATTCCTGAATTTAAAAAAAGATCTTTGTGGAAAGAGATTTTCTGTCAATGAAGAGCTCAAGGCGGCAATTAACGCACATTTTTTAGACCAGGAGGAAGGGTATTTTTTACAGGGAATTGAAAAGTTAATTTCTAGTTGTAATAAGTACATTGAAGTTATGGGGAATTACAGTGAAAAATAAAAATTATTTCAATTTATTATTTCTTTTTCTTCATGCTGATACTGAGAATACATTGAACGCCCTCGTATGAGTAATATTTGCATAGTTACAGGCTCAGTGGGTAAATGTTGATGTGTAGTATGCACTAGACACACCTATGCTTTAAGTTCTGTAAAACTATTCTATCTGTAAACAAAATCTGAAAAAAGGATCTCTTTCACATATTATAAACACTTGTTCAAGGTTTAGTTTGCATATTTGCGATATGGTTCCACTATTTCATTACAGTAGGAAACTGTCCTAGTCTTCATTAGGCAAACTGTGTAAAAGTTACAGCTTTAAATTCCCAACCCAGCAGGATAGACAGATCAGCTTTAGGCCTGTTTCTTTATTTGCATCCTGATAGTAAACTGCAGAAATTTTTTCAGAGGACATTTAGAGCAAGTATTACAGGGCTATTGGCCAAATCTATTGAGAAAAAATTTCAGGTGGTGAAAAGGAGGTCTTCTAGATTGTCCTCTGAAAAATATCTGCAGCCAGAGTGGCATAGTACCTTCTTAAATTCCCAATTTCTGTGTAGGACAAAGCCTTCTTTTCTTTGAACATCTGGTAAATTCCAAGGAATCAGATGTTCAAGGAATGGCTTTCCCAGTTCTTATAGAACACAAGGTGGCTGGTGGGTGCTGAAGGCTATGCCCTTCCTTCTTTTTTGTTTCATTTTATGTACAGTCTCAGCAGGAATGGAATGAAAGTACATCATCTCAAATAGTCATTTCCCAATTTCCAGGCGCATGCAGAGCACAAGTCATGGCAAAATGATAACTGAACTCTAAGTTGCCATTTAGATTTGAATTAGAGAACAAAGACAGACCATCTGCTGGACACCCAAGAGTAACAACTCCCCTTACTGTAGGCCATGAACTCCAAGAACAATGGGAATAAGATGTGTATTAACTGAGTTTATTTGACCTGAGGGGCAAAAAAATAAATAATTATTTGGATATGAAATTAACTGTCTTCTGTGAAGTTTAATTTCTATTAATGAGAACTAAATCTGCATCTATACAAATAAATTAGCACATGCAAATGTTATACAAATTGTGTTCCCCTTTTAAATAGTGCATATCCTTTTTGTGCAAGGTAATGCATAAATGGTCAACTGGTATGTTGTGTTCTAGGTTGTAATACACTGGACAGGTAAAATTAGAAGCTTCTTTTAATCTTGAGAATATGTATCAGATGTTATCATACTGAATGAAGGCAGCTATTTGCATATTCTCTCTCTCTCTCAGACACACACACACAGAGGGAGAGGGAGATTAATTTGCTTAATAATAATGTAGAGAAATATGCAATTAGGGCCCTGTAAGAGGAAAAGCTGCTGGAAGGGCAGGGCATTTGGAATGCCTTACTGTGTGTAAGGAAAGGGATAAGTATCCTCTCCCTTCAGTATCCTTCTCTTTCTCCAAATTTTTATTTATTTATCGATTTACATCCTGCCTTTTTCCTACAAAGAGCTCAAGGCAGCTTACATCTCCTCCTCCATCTTATCCCCACAACAATAACCATGTGAGGCAGGTTGGGCTGAGAGTCTGTGACTGGCCCAAAGTCACCCTGTTGGCTCCATGGCTGAGCAGAGACTAGAACCCATGGAGTCCTAGTCCATGCTCTTAACCACTACACCACACTGGCTCTCCTAGAAGTAGCTTATTTCCTTCTTTAAAATGGTCATGTGAGTAATGTTATGTATGCATGTTTAGTGCTAGCTAGTACCTTAAATTCAAATTGTGGATTAGATTATGAAAAAACTCTTCTAAAACTGAAAAATTGATGTATAGTGTAATCCTCTGCATGCTTTTCCAGAATTATTTCCTTCTGGATTCTTCTAGTAAGTGGATTTAGGATTCCAACTTTACCATCATAATTGTTGTAAAGCCAAATTTGAATATAATTATGAAGGACACCAAAGTACTGCCTAAAAATGATATTTCTTAAAAGTATCATGACCAATAACAGTGGGTAAAAGCAGACATGCTTGACAATTACCAAAAACAATGTATTTGAATTAATTTCTTTCCAAGTGGGATATGCTGCCTGAAACTGCTAAGATATTTCAAACTTATCGGTATTGATATACATGGACATGGTTAACTATTATGCTTAAAAATCTAACTTAGAGCTGAACATTGGTTAAAACCATTTAAGTTAAATAACAACCAAATATAAAAAAGTACTTACACTTTCGTTCTGAAAGGGGTTTAAAAAGTTTCCTCCCATTTCGCCATCATCTCGAGGAGTCCCGGGCTGATTGCTCATGCTCATATTACTGGGAGAGTTCTGTTTGAACAGAACACAGCACAGTTTAAAAGTAACATCAAGAATATATACTCAAATTCATTTGTGAATGTTTCGGAACAGCCACTGAAGTTTACGCAATGGGGGTGTTCACTCATAATGTGAAGAGCTTTTGCACAGTTACCTTTCTTACCTTATGTCGTATGTTTGCACATTTACAAGTTAATTACTCATGAGTAGTCTCCACATGCCTCCATCTTCCCTCCAAATGACAGCACATACTCCATCAGACCCCATGGCTGGGAACCAATCTCAGTGCACTGCTTCTGCCTGCATCTCCCTCATTGGCCTGCATGCTCCCCTGGGCATGTTCCCAATTGGCTACTGCTTTTTGATGCCGCTCTGTGGAGCGGCAGATTACTCATTAGAGTACCATAGCTGTCCCCATGGTTGTGCTGTCTCTCCCAGCAGATGTCCTCCCGTGCCCAGCCAGATAGTCCACCTACCTTCTGCCTGGCCAACCACCTGCCCACATGCTGCTTGGTTAATCACACCTCTAACTGCCTCCTGGTGGGTAACCAAGATGCCTGTTCTGACATCCTGGCATGACAACGCCACCATGTCCCTGCAGCACACACTCACATGAGAGGAAACAGTGGGAAGGGACAGTGCACACTTGCATGGGTGGCCACACCAGGCAGGGGCATCCCAGACAGGTATCTCTGCAAGCTGGCCAGGAGGCAAGTAGTGGAAGATCTGGCTGGGCACCAGGGAATGCACACCAGGAACAAGGACAGGGAGCATGGGGACAGCCAAATTAGTCCTCTATCTGCTGGTAACTCAGCTGCTGCTAGACAAACAGAGCAGTGGAAAATGGACTTGCTGCTGAGCTTGCTGGCTGAAACGGGGAAACCATGAAAAAACAATGTAACCAATTTCACATATAATGAGAAGCAATGCTGATATGTGGAGATCTTAGAACAAACTGTTCTCTGTGATGATTCACAGTAACCAAACATTTTACCATGTTTCTGGTGCTGACATATCATGGGAAGCCATTCCTGTCATGGCTTGTCACTGCATGGGAATACGGGCTGACAAATTTAATGATGAAAATAGAAATCCCAGGAGCATCACAATGTTGCACTTTTGCCTCAATTCTCAATGGTGGTCCAAATGCAGAAATAAATTTCCAAGCATATATATTCTTTATTTGTTCCCCTGGATACAGAGGAATACTACCTGGGGACAAGAGTTCTACCTCTAATATCTACATGTATTAACAGCCCTGGTGACACTTATCATCTATTTGATGAGTAGGGCTGATGGTTGAACTTGTGCATCCTTCTGTCCAAAAAATAAACAGAGCTTGAGATAACTGAGTCAATCACTGACACAGCCAATCACTTTTGATGGAAAGTGAAGTTAGATCTTTGTGCATCACATCAGCTAAGCATCTACACAAAGCAGCATCTAGACCAGATATGTGCATATCATATTGCATGAATGATATGCATACATATTTCCATAGTTTATAGAAAGGCCTGAATGCTTTTTACTTCATGAAATGAATTTTGAAATGTATCTCATGTTGGAATTTTAAATGGTATTAGCATAAGCCGCTGAAATAAGACACCTCTTCTGGCTATAAACCAAAACAGGAATACCCATTGCTTGAAGTCAATTTAAAGGTATGCAGCAACGAGATCTAATGCCAGTGTAATGAATGATTTCAATTCCTTAAAGGATTTTAAAGGATTTTGTATCTCTCCCCTCAGCCTTCCATGTGTGAATTTCTGATGCTATCCTTATTCATGGTCAAGTGTGAATGACCAACAAGTTTACACATCATGCTGAACTGTGGCTTTGTGTGATGCGTAGAAGCAAGAATAAGCCACAGTGAGACCTGGGTACATGTGTCTCCCCTCTTCTTACCAAAGGTGTTAAGAATTATCTCTTGGTTAGCCACAGCTTCCCATGTTGTTCAACTAGGAACCTGCATTAACATTAACTATATTTGACATGTTATAAATTAACTAGTTAATGCTAATCCCAGTTTGTCACTCCAGGTATAACATACTGCAGCTAAGGGAAAGCACAAGCTTCTGAACTCTCCTCCAGGCACAGAAGGAGAGAAGGAGTACATGGACCTGAACCTCAAGGCAACTTGTTCCTACTGTCCACATCATGATAAATCAGTCATAACTCAACAACAAATCTTGTGACTTCACTTATTGGAAGACAGATAAGCCATTGTGCCTGATATACACATCATCCTGAACATTTAGCTAAACATTTGTTTTATAACTACATTGTCTCATTCACAAGAACACAGATTTTTCTTCCAAAAATTGTGGGATAATGTGACATGCAAACTGGCATTATCAGTATAAAATTTAACCACAGTAAATCCTAATCAGGATTTCAAGCTAGCTTAAATCCTTGGTTAAGAGCAAACTCTGGCTAATGTTATTCCTGTCTCAAGTAGGAATTCACTTATGAGTTCCTCAGCTAAAAAAGAAGTCTAGAAAGGAGATCTACATTCTTATCATTTGTAAGAAATATCACAAAATAAACAATTAAAGCTAAATTTCATGTGTGTTATTCTAAATTAAGTCCCATTTATTTCAATAGGTCTTCCCAAAGTAGATAACACTGGCGACAATTCATAGTCAAGTATTCTGAACTGAAAAGACTACTGATGGTTGGGGAGGGGAAGGGAAGGGAAGGGAAGAAACAAACTACCTGTGTGTATGCCAGACTGTCTGAGGGTTGGCCTTTCTCCTCCCTCATCTTTTTGCTTGCACTTATCATGGTAACAGCAGAAACAACTTGTATTAAAGGAATGTACACTGACTGTCATATCAGGATGCTGTAGAATAGCATGGCCAGGTTTCAGGATTCCAAGACTAACTTTGTTTTTATTAAAATCCTCAGGTTGACTAATCATGCCCAGCTGGAAACCAGGCCCAGCTGACAGCAGAAGGGCAAAAACCATTGAAAATGGTGGCTCAGCAGCACCTAATAAGCCTTACACTGGAGCCTTACTCAGTTATTACAAGTGCTGAAAAAGTGTACACATGAAGCTCTTCCTGCTGCAGACATTTGAGCTATACATATAGGTGTTTTGGGGCAGGACTACATTTAGATAGAGCTATTCAGCACAGCCCTACTCATCACTTATTTTTATACCTGGATTAGAGCTTGGGATAATCCACAGATTCTAAAGATCAATAATTACAATAGTTATATGGACGTTGTTGCTAGTTTTAAATAATTGGCAGAAATAACTGGGAGTCTGAAACCCTTGCTGATCTAGCACAGTAATCTACCAAGAGATCCCAGTTCACTTTCTGCCTATCCTGTTGTAGTGTCTATCTCCCTGGAACACCTCTCCCATGAAAATTAAGTCTGACCTAGAGAGCAACAAGGCGAGACTACATGATTTTCCCATGTACTGGACTTTATAGTGTTTCATTCCTTTTGAACTTGGGATGAATTCAAAAATGGTTTGCAAGATACTATATTGGTGGTGGTAGGTGGGAATACTTGCAGTTTCAAGATGATGAGGCAAATATTTTTTTTACATGTGATAAAGCCCGTGGGTGTACCTAAAGTAGTTGTCTGGATCATGATGGCCTATGTTTATGTCACCAGCACTGAATTTAGCTAATTGTGGTCTAACATAATCACACATAAAACAGAACAACAGATAAAGCCCCACAGTATATTAAAGGAAATCAATAAACAAATTCCTTAACATAAGCTGTTATTTCCATCCAATAAATTATTATTATTACACAATACCCTTAAATAACTATTTCACTTTAAAATAATTTTAACAACCATAATGAATATGTTTAGAGAAAATCAGTTTGCTAGACATCAAAAGCATACTTACTTTGGAGATACTGTCCATGTCTCCTGAGCCTTAAATTAAAATGGATACTCAGTTCAGTCTATTCAATATTTCAGTTATTTTCCAAAAACTCAATACATCTTTTATTTTGGCACTATTATGAATTTGGCTTTTGTAATCTCATTCTCATCTAGGAGAACTCACTTTCCTCTTCAGACTTTTATCTGGAGAGTAGAACCTAAATAAATAAATAAATGTTCTACATATACCTGTCAGAACAACTTTGTTGACTGGGTGGGGTGTGTGTAAAACAAATACCCCCATCAAAACAAACAAACAAGCCCTGCTCCCATAATTTTGTCTTTATTAGTAATGTTAGTGGTCCTGTTGTGCTGGCAGCTCATGTTTTGCCATGGACTTCTCATGTAACTCTCAGTAAATGCTTTCTTGTGCTATCATGTTTGATACAGATTGCTGAAGACTTCCTGAAACACTTTAAATGACTAGCTCTCTGTATAGCAAGCACTGGGATTTCACCTGTTAGGTTTGAGCCAATATTGAGCCAATATTTGTTGGATTCTATTAAAATGATTCTATTGTTTATAGATACATAATATATTTTTATTTATTTTCTATTCTTATTTCTTAACTTCTTGCCTTTGGTTGTGATATACTGTTGGCCTAACAGTAAGTTCATGGTTGTTTGAATTCTCCTATCTCCTCAAACAAAAAAGGAAGAAGGAGAGGAGGAGAAAAAAAGTCTTTCCTCCCATTCTATTATGGTCAATCAGAGGGCCAATTCATGCAAGTACTCTGTTGGTGGGGGTGCCTATTCTCTAAGCAAAAGGACATCCAATTCATTTATTACCATTTTGTTAATCATCTATTTGCTTGTCTGTTGTAACTTCTCCATAGCAAATAGAATTATTTTGGATGAGTTCAAGGAAGAAGCTACCAGAGGGAATACAGCCTCAACTTGCATGTCTGTTTAGCTTAAACAGGCTTTCCATCTCTGGGAACTTAAATAGTCCCTCCCCTATTTAATGTCAAGTTAAATAATTGTTCCCACTCTGGATTTTTTCAGTGCTTTGTTTTTTCATCGCAATCTGAAAGTTTTATTTTATCCTAGATTGAAACATAAATTATGCTTGATGATCCTAAAATTATTCATGGTCATGATTCTATAAGGAAGGCAAAGTGAACACTTTTAACTTCCAAAAAAAAAAAAAAAAAGGAAAGGAAAGAAAATGAAATGTCCAATTTTTTGGAAAGACAAAAGTCTTTCTTTTGTCATCAACCATTACTTCAAAATTCTGGCTTGTTGGGGCTTTCTACCCATGAACTTTTATTATAACGTCTAAAACAAATACAATATAATATTAACATAATTGGATAAAACCATTAGCCCAGGCAGAAAAAATATATTGTTTGGATTGCTTTCAACCTTTTGCCAGCAATGTAAGCATCCTACTTAGAATTTTTATCTCTTTTGACTTCAGAAAAACTTGAAAAGGTGATGGAAAGCATTCAAAAGAAGTCTTCTGAACTTATTCACCAGCACAGAATAAAGAAAGTCAAGTAGTATCCTTACCTAATGATCCATTCATATGATGTGAATCCATTCCACCCAATCCACCCATAGGGCCATCAGACCCTGGTCCCATTGGAAACTGCAAAAAGTAAAAAATGTATTCTAGTATAGAATATGCTAGTGAAGAACTTATAGCAAGAGGGGAAATATGGTAAAAGATATGTGCAGAACACCTTACAACTGAAATCATAATAGGAATAACAATCATGTTTGGAATATTGGGCAAGATCAAATGTGACATGACTGGTAATGTAAATTACATTGTGCTGGCCTACGTGACCTCTAGTGCAACATCAATAGCACTTGCTAGTGTGATGGGTTTCCTTGGGAAATCCATCATGCCAGCTGACACTATTGGCATTGCACTAAAGGTCATTTATGCTGGCAACAGCATAATTTACATTAGTAGTAGGTGTTACATTAGATACAGCCCTCTGTTGTCAATATTACTATTAAATATCTCACAGTGTCAATAAGTAAAAGGCAAGAACATGACTGAAACAAGTGCACATACCTATATGAACAATACTTTTGTTAATATATTGAATGAGAGTACAGCCTTGATGCAGCAACTTCAAACCCTTTTGTATTAGTGAAAATTCAGTGAAACAATGCTGTATGTGGTAGCTGTGTCTATAATTGATTTTCTTCTGTATAAAGAACAATGCATACAACAAAAATATTTTGCATTCTGGTGCTTAGGTACAGGTTCCACAATTCAAATGTATGTATTTATTGCTGATATTTACATTAGGTCTATTGGGTCCAGGAGGTACTGCATTCATTAAAGTGTACATGTTGTCCCCAGAGTTGGTTGAATCTGAAATGAAAATATTTTTAGAAAATCAAGCACTTGCAGTGGAAAAGAATCAATGAATACAATGAACTATTATTCAAAGAGGCATTCAGATAGTGCCAATAGTACAAAAGAAGAACTCATTCTAGAACTACTTTCAGATCAGACTTAAGCATTATTGTAACAACCAATAAATCAGCTGTAGGACATTTTGCTTATAAACAGCTCTTGGCTAGACTTATTGTGAGCCAGAATTTGTTGAAGATTTTGTGTAAGTTTTAAAAGGAAAACAGAAGAAAATACTGCACTGATCCAAGTGGCAGTTTCCTTCTTTTAACATGGAAAATAACTGAATGCAGAGTGAAATCCTGATTATTTCGGCTGAAGATGACCAAAATCTGCTAATACTGGTTGCAGTAGTCATGATTATGGTCATGATTAAGTGCTCATAATTATGTAAAAATAATATCAAATTGGGACTTCTTAAAATAGAAGATCTAAAGAGGCAAAGCGAATTTTTGATGAGCTAATCAAAATCCAGACAGGATTTTCCATTTGGCAAAACCCATGGTAGCTGTTGAGTTATTTGAGGGTTATTTTTCCTTCAACTAGCCATGCTGCATGGAGTTTGGGTGATAGAACAAGCTACACCTGGATAGGTGATTAGAGAAAAGCACCCAGTATGCACTACAATATAAATAAGCTCTGCTGATTATCCATGGTGATTATGTGAACCAGGATAACCTGACATCCTGTAACTGTGATTTATCTTGGCTTTTGTATTTTGTCATGTAGATGTATTACCATTATTTTTCTTGGTGATTTTTTGGAAGTTACTAATTTACAATGTCCCTTAATTCTCTAATTAAAGTTATCTACCTGCTGGACTAGGCATGATGGGTGTTCCTGGTGGCCCTCCTCCTCCTGGTGGACCCTAAAAACCAAAACAAAACCAACTATTATCACCAGTACTGAAGTAAGCAATAAGAGCTTTTAAGAAGTTTCTCTTCTTGACAGAACAGACAGATTTTAATTAATCATCCTTCCCTTCTAATAGTGAGTTCAGATGGCTGAGGGCCTATCACATGGTTTCCAACCTGTTGCACAAGGGAATAGGATCACTCCCAGACGCTTACCCTGTTGCCTGTGAAACAGGCTTTTCCCACCTACTTGCTGCTGCCAGATATCCCCTTCCCCAGTCAGTACACCCAGTAACACCCACAGGAGCATTTGACAGCTCTAAACAATATGTGGGAACATTATTTTAGCTTTTTAAAAGCTCTTTTTCTTCTAATGCATTCTAGCCATTTTAGTTGTGTGAATCTGGTTTTTAAATTTTGTAGTTAAATTTTATGATGTAGTTTACCTGCATTTTAAATTGTATTTTATGAGTTGTCAATCATCCAGGGAGTTTCAGCTATTAGATGGTACAGAAATAATGACAACAGTTTTGCCATTTTGTTACACACATATATTGTTCCTAATATAACCACAGGAGATAGACTCGAACTTGTTGACGAACTGCAGGTCTTCAGCTACTCACAATTCAGCAATTTTGTGCTGAAATCTGTCTTTGAAGTTATAGCATTCAAAAATGGCTACCTTGAAGTCGATAGCCTGGTTCACACATGGCAGCCCAAAGCATGTGTTTTAACTAAATGGTGAGTTGCCATTGAACTGTGGGCTGCCATTATGTGAGAAGCCTTCACTTTGACTTAACTCTGGGTTAGAAATCATGAACAACCTACAGCAGGGGTCCTCAAACTTTTTCAACAGGGGGCCTGTTGAAAGGTGCTGGCAATGGGTGTGGGCCGCCAAGGTGGTGCGTGCGTTTGTGCAGGCGGGCGAGGAGGCAGGGGCGGACGCACACACAGACAGGATGAAAACAATCTCCTTGTGAGCAAGCTGCCAAACAGCAAGGCGCCAGCTTGCTTGAGCGATTGTTTTTGAGAAAACGATCTCCTTGCGAGTAAGCTGGTGCCTTGTTGTGTGCGTGCCCAGTGGTGGCTTGCTTGCAAGGAGATGATTTTCTTCGAGCGAGTTCAAACTGATCTCCCCACGAGCAAGCCGCCAGTCCAAAACCTTTATGGCAGGCCAGATAAATGGGCATGGTGGGCCAGATCCACCCCATGGCCCATAGTTTGAGGACCCATGACCTACAGTTTATAACCCAAGAAGCAGCAATGAGGTCTCTTCCTGGATGTTTCATGGTTAACAGCCATTGTTAAGCCATAGTGCAGCACCTGCATGTAACAACAACCCAACTCAGACACAATCCACAATTCAATGACATTGTTTTATTTATATTTATATTCCACCTTTTTCCTTCCAGAGAACTCAAAGCAGCCTACACAATTCTCCTCCTCCTCCCCACAATCTCGTTCTCTTAACAATCCTGTGAGAGTAGGTTGGTCTGAGAGTCTGTGACTGGCCCAAAGTGAGTTCCATGGCTGAGAGAGGACTCGAACCCAGATGACCTGAGTCCCAGTCCCAAACTCTTAATCACTACACCACATTGACTCTATTAGAAATCCATATTCTCAGGTCATCATATATGAGCCAAGCCAATAACCATGGCTGCCAGTCTTGAACAATGGAACTTCAAAGAAAGATTTCAACAAAAATTGGTTGAATTGTGAATATCTGGGTACCTGAAAGCTCCTATGGCTTAAACAGGAACAATGGACTTTTTATTATGTTACATCTTAACTTAGCTCACAACTGCTAGGACGTCTAAAGTTAGGGTGCTTTGTGAATGGCCACAGTTGATTAAGTAATTACTTCTTGTACTTTGGTCTGTACTTTCTGCAGCTCAGTTCTTTTGGCCTCACTATGTACTGTTCCATAGCCATGTGTATTTATACCAGTAAATTACAAGGAAATGTTTTGTGCTTCCAATGAAGTGAACTGTATGCCATAATAAATTTGTTAGTCTTTAAGCTGTCACTAGATTCTTACTTTTGCTGAAACTACTACCACTTGAAAAACTTAACACAGCTGCACCCTTTATATCTTGTTTGCTAAAGCATTTCTCTCACATGCCAAATTTGTCATCACCTTGTAATTGTTAAGACAAGAGTAAAATGATGCACTCCATGCAGAGGATGCTTAATATCCTACAAAATTCTGATGCCAGTCTCCTTGATAAGCACATTTGACTGTATAAATATATTGAAGTTTCAAACTTGGGATACAGACTTGACAGTATTGTTACCTTGAATTCTGAGAAGTCTGGACTGTGGTCTCTTCAGCAAAATAGGAATAGATATTGACAGAAAATTCTGGGCAATATTTTCTTGCTGGGAAACTTCCATAGCTAAGCATTCGGTTGGATGAAAGCCCTCTCCTTCCTGTTCCAAGGATTATACAGGGAGGGCTCCTTCCTTATTTTGACTCCTGTGTGGCCTTGGTAAGCAAGGAGGCATTGGTCAAATGGACTACACTGACTGGGGCCCATGGGTGTGTTGTGTGAATGCACAGATGACCACTCTAAGAACAACAATTACGGGTGAGCAACCTTTCTTCTTCATGGACTCTGTGCATCATACATATGGGTGACTAGCAAGTTTACTTTGAGAAGGATGAAGGGATGGTGTTGTCACTGAGGATGGAGGAGAGGACTGCTCTGCTGAAGGAGCAGTTGGCCCTTGTGTGGACATCCAGCCTGTAGTGTTTAATGAACACTGAGGGTGTGGACAATGTGGTAGCCCTGCAGACTTCTTGTAGGGGGATCTCTGAGAGGAGGGCCATGGACATGGCCATTGCTTATGTGGAGTCAGCCCTGTGGGGAGTTGAAAGCCTACTATCTTGTATGCCTGGGAAAGGGTGCTCATAACCCAGTTCACCAATCTCTAAGCAAAGAGAGGATCGCATTTGTTCTGTCACCCATAGCAGATGAGGAGTGAGCAACAGAAGGATATGGTTCTGGAACAATAGAAAGTGAGGGTCCTCTAGATGTTTAGTGAGTGCAGGTAGACTCCATCAGGTTGGCAGGAGTGGCGAAGAAGGCTGGGAGGATGATGTTTTGGTTAAGGCAGAATCCAATATGACCTTAGAGAAAAAACTTGAATCTGGCTGGGACACCACCTTCCACTGTCTCTGTGGAAGAAGAGGAAGGAAGGGTCTACTCAGAGGGTGCACAGCTCACTGCTACAGTTAGTCAACGGGATGACCCCTGGAAGGTGACCTTCCAAGGAAGGAGACAGGGTTTGGCTGTGGCCAGTGGCTTGAAGAACCTCATGCGGTATGAACAAGAAACTCCATGCTGCACGCAGGGGCAGATCATACGAGTCAGGTGTCTTCCAGACTGAAATTCTGGTGATATGCAAAGGTGGTGAAGGCATTCTATTTTGCTAAGTAGGGCCACCTTGTGGGATGGTTTTAGGGCTGTACTGAGGGTGGACTTTACTTCCTGAGGGAAGGTCTCTGCCATGGCATGATGTGGCACATCATGAGCTACAGGATCTTGATGCTGGTGGGAAGAACTTGGCCTTGGCTTTGTGCAGCTGAAGGAGCCAGGAGAACCAAGGTTGTCTTGGTCACTATGGGGCAGAATGCAATCTGTCCTATCCTTCCTGATCAAGGATGGGGGGGGGGGAGATGTAGAACAGGGTTCCCTGCCATAGGAGGAGAAAGGTGTCCTCCAGAGAGCTGGTTCTTTGAAAGTAGAGGTTTGTGCAGGTTGTGGCAAAAAGGTTGACTGAAAGTACACCCCATGTGTCAAAGAGGTTGTGGACAGTCTTGGTGTTCAGCTGCCACACATGTGTCAAGGCTCATGAGACTGATCTGCAAAAGTGTTGCGCATGCCTGCCACATGAAAGGCTGTGAGGGTTACATTCCTGTCAATGCATGAATCCCAAATTCTGACTGCCAGTTCTGTCAGCGAGATGGACCAGATTCTCCCTGTTTGTTGATATAAAATGACATGTTTGTGTTGTCTGTGGTTATCTGGATGTGGTGTCCATGTAGGAAGGGCTGAAAGGTAATCAGGACTTTGTGGACAGCCAGCATCTCCAGGAAGGTGATGACAGCCAAAATCTAACAGGTAGAACTCAATTCCACAGTTAGCTGGCTCATTAACTTGATCAATGTTTCTTGCTAACCATCTCTACATTACCCGTTTTGTGTCACAAAACCAGTCCTGGCTGACCAACTTTAACATAATCAAAGACTGTAGTTAGAAGCCGCTCTTCTTGATTTGTTGGGAAGGGAAAAGAGATTGGTGTGAGAGAGACCAGCTCATGACATTTATAATCTTTTAGCCTAACATATTGGTTTCAATGCATGGTGCATTTGTTTGCATGGAAGAGCCAACCTGCATTTTTAAATGGAACTGGGCAGACACAGTTTTACTGCTGCAGCTCTAGAAATGAAGTCTTTTTCCAGACCTGGTAGGAAGTTTTAGCCTTTTATAGTAACAATTTCCTGCAGGGTTGATAGAAGAGTAATAAAACATCTGGCTCTCAGAGATAAGATGGTAACTCTGTGGCTGGACTGTACATTTGCTTAGACGACTTGATACTGCTAAACAAATACCTACTACAGGATTTGCTGCACTCTGCTTTCTAATAGCTGTAGAAGCCTCTCTCATCACCTATCCTGTGTTTTACTTTTTATGAAACTCCACTCTGCATTTTTTCTGACACTTTCCAATTACTGTTTAATCTCAAGCACTACTCCATGGGATGGTCTGTCTGGTTTTTGTCTGCAACTTGAACAGTATCAGAGTACTGTTTTCCCTTATCACATGTAGCCTTGGCTCAGCTCACTTCCCAAGATCTTTACTTTATGTTTATTGTTCTTGATTTCTGTGTTGTTCTGGTCTGTATGTAAGCCCCTTTCTTACTAGCCCTGGCATCTGGTCTGTATGTAAGCCCTACTGAAGTCCGGGCCCAATTCAAGTTGTTGGTTATGACCTATAAAGCCCTTAACGGCTTGGGATCTGGTTATCTAAAGGAACATCTGCATCCATATATGCCCTCCCACCCCCTACGATTGGCAGCTGATGTCCTTCTCCAGGAACCCTCCGTGAATGATATTAGGAGGGTGAGTACCCGGAGGAGGGCCTTCTCTGCAGTGGCGCCTCTCCTATGGAATGCGCTCCCCAGAGAGGTCCGCCTGGTGCCCTCATTATTTGCTTTTTGGTGCCAGGCGAAGACCATTTTATTTAAAAGTTATTTTAACTGTTAATTTATTATTATTGTATTTATAGATTTTAATATATATAGCCAAGATGGTACCAGTTTTTAAATTATTAATTGTATTTTTTATGAATGTTGTGAGCTGCCCCGAGGCTTTGTTGCGATGGGCGCGGCATGGAAATGTTTTAAATAAATAAATAAATAAATAAATAAATAAATGACTTTTAATATCTGACTGGCTCACCCAGGATGTAGATAGTTTTGAGTTAACAGCTAGATTTTGTGTCTTCAAACATGGAAGATAAATGGTCAATGAGTTTCTTGTTCCCAATGGTTCTAGAGGCATAGAAATCTGAAAACATTAAATTAACAGGCACAGTACAATTTGAATGCCTACAAATTCTCCTCCTCCTCCTCTGTATAATCTTAAAACTGCATTTATGCAGACATCCCAACTACAACATCCAATCAGCCTCTATTTTCTGTTCGTATTTAGTGATTTAGGGCCTGGCCCTTGCTAGCCGCTCCCCAAGAAACGGTCACAGGCACAAAGATCACCCTTCCACATTGCCAATTAGCATCTGACTGACATTTGGTCGAGGTGAATGACTGGTGGATATAGATTGTGAACTCAAAGATTCTGATTCAGAAGTAGAAAAAAAATCAGGGTTGGAATTTGCAGCTGAAATGCCAAGGCCACAGGACCAAGTTATAAGCCAAGCAGTCACTGAGAACTAAACAGTTTCAAGTCTGGTGATGGTGGAGGAAGTCTAGGGAATAAATAGAGAAGGCTGGTGGTAGACCTAACATCCTTAGTTCAATTATTTGGTGTCATGTGAAGAGAACTGAAAAACCTCAGATGCTCCTGGCAATTGGCCCATAATCAGCACCCTAAAGTTCTTTTTGGTTGGAAGGGAGAAAAAGTATTCTGATTGGAACCAATTTTGTACCATTAAGTGATATTTCCCTAACTGGCCAGTATGTCTTTTGTTACTGATTTTTGCAATAGTTTTGTTTACAAAGCCATTGTTTAAAATGACATTAGGGACTCTCTATTTTACACTGAAAAATTTATTAGTCATGGGAAATTCACTGGATAAATGGAGGTAGGGTGGAATGCTCCTATATCTGTGGTTACAGTCTGGGAAAAATACCTTAACAACAAGTAAACAGGCCAGCTGAGGAGAGGGGTTAGAAAGTTCAGATCTCTTCTTTCTACTGATTTTTCTCTCAAACAGAGGTTCCTGATTGTCTAACAGCTTTTCCTCACATCTGGCAGCACTTTTGCTGAATGCCATGTCAGTTCAAAACAAAATCTCCATGGTTTGATTGTGGATGAGAGGGTTGACTTGATTTCTGTTCATTTCTGAGACTTTAGTGGGAGAAATGGGAGGGATTACTCTCTCTAACCTATGTCCTTTCTGTGTATACAGTCCAGCATCAACACAGACTTGAAGGTTAGTGATGAGGGTTGCGATGGTCTACAATAATTTTATCTGTCTCTCTAGTTCTCTTCTTTTGAGTGCCAAATTTGACATTTTATATCTTCTTTTGGGTAAGTGGGACAGATTACTGTATATACTGGCCTATCACATGATTCGCATATAAGACGAGGTCAATACTTCAGGCTGTTTTTCTAGTGTTTGTCATATAAGATGGCCATCAATTTTTGATTCACTATCTTCTGTTTCAAGGGGCTCTTATACACTGGTATATATGGGTATTTGTCAGCTGGAAGCTTCTAGACTCTTGTGAAGTCACATTACCATATTCCAGAGAATACCCACATTCCCTCTCCAATTTCATTTGGGAAGGTTTTGTAAAGTTGGAGGCCAATGGTAGCTGCAAGCGGTCAAGGGCAGTCAGGGAGGACAGCCTGTACCAGCGCTGTGGACAAGTTCAGGGAAACAGGTGAGAGAGAGGAAGTTTGAGGAGGCAACATTGTGTCTCTGCACAGACAGCTGTGTGGGGAACACTACCCTTCCCAGCTGCCACTACGGCTGGCCTGGAACAAAGTGTTGCTCCTCTGACAAGGACAGGGGAGGTGCCAGACTCCAGACTGGTCCTGTGGCTGTGTACAAGGCTCACAATGTGACAAAATGCAGAATGAGCTCCCCCAGTAACAGCAAGATGTTTACTTACTTTTTAATGTTTATTAATAAAAAATGGCTGGCAACTACAGTTGTCTTTATTATTTATTCCATTAAAAATAATGAATATGATTAAAAATTTCACCTAGTGTAGAAGACAACTGTAATTTTGACTCACTATTTCTGGTATCAAAGGGTCATCTTATACACCAGTATATATGGTAAGGATTCAACTTGCATACATTCCTTTTTGCTGCCCATCAGTCTCTTTGCTTGAGCTGATGGGTGGTCTGAGAACCTCTACAATGAAATCTCTGATAGATTTCAAATCTTATGCTGAGACCATCAGATACAGGACAATTAAGGACTTCATGGCCACAATGACAACCATAGGACTATTCCAACGTGGTGGTGGTACAGTGGATGCAGGAAAAATACATTTGATTCAGTGTCCTTAACTGAACAGGAAAATGGCAATCTGAAAGTGGGGGAATTCATCTCAATTCCTTATACTTTCATTAGGGTTTTATACCTGGCTAGCTCTCCTGGCTAGAAAGTTTTGAGTAAATGGCTAGATTTTGTGTCTTAAAACATGGAAGATAAATGGTCAATGACTTTCTTGCTCACAGTGGTTATAGGGACATAGAAATCTGAAAACATTGTATCAACAGGCTGAGCCCAATCTGAATGCCTGCAAACTCTCCTCCTCCTCTGTATAACCTTAAAACTGCATTTATGCAGACATCCTGACTTCGACATCCAATCAGCCTCTAATTGCTGGTGATTTTCTTGTTTGCAGTGGTCTTAGCAGCATAGAAATCTAAAACCACTGTGTGGGTGGAAGATTATTAAAATTATCCAAACTCAGAGTGTAATAATATTTGATAGATTTCATTGGGTTCTGGTTTTTTGTGTTTTGCTGTATTTTTTTCTGATATGGCTAGTGTTCCTGTTGAAATCCATTACTCTGTGGAATGCAGAGATGACAGAGGGTTGACATGATCATATCCAAATACTCTTTCCTTTTGAACAGTGTCTGGCTATATACCTGAGATGAATTCTCTTCCACCAGCATTGCATCATCTGGACAAAAGCTCTATGTCCAATAGAGCTTTTCCAATGGTTCACTTCTGCAATCTGGCCAGGAAGAGTTAGTGGCAGTAGCACATTGTGATGAGTTTGCATGATACTTTAAAAATAAAGCTACTCACATTTGTCAGGACTTGGGTACCACAATTTATGCAGTTCTATCTGTAGAGGTATATAGAGCACTCTGTGGTCTAATTTTATTGAATGGATTTCAGTTATTGAGAAAGGAGGATGCATACAAGATGGTTGGACAAGCACAGTTGATCAATGGACTGGAACCTTATTTCATCTAATAGCAAAAAGATATCCAGCTGGGTCTTGGAGGTTATTAACTACTCCTTGATGGAGGGAATAGGGCCTCTTTAAAGGAAGCAATTATTAGTCTACTCCTGAAAAAGATCAAAGATGTTAAGAACTAACAACTGGCTAACATCGCCTCCCTTGATAAAATGCTTTTCAGCCAATTCTAAGCATTTTTGAATAAAACTCATAATTTAGATCAATTTCAATCAGGCTTCAAACCTATTATTGGAGTCATATTTGGGATAGAACACAGATGGTAGGATCTTGTTGATTATTTGGACTACTGGGCATTTTTTGATAGCATTAACCATGGTATCCAACTTGATAGGTTATTTTGGTTTGGAGTTGGAGATACAGTGGTTCAGCCCCTACTTTGATGACTGTTTCTAGATGATGGTGCTGATATCCTTTTGTCTCCCATCAGTTATGCCATGGGATCCTACAGGCTTCTATTTTATCTTATGTGCTGTTCAGTATTGGGGAGAAATATAGACTGAGGTTCACCAATATGCAGATGACATTCAATTCTATCTCATTTTTTCATCCAATTCAGGTGGAGCAGAGAAAGTTCCAAATAAGTGTCTGGGTGTAATAATGGATTGGACGAGGGTCAATAAATTGAGACTCAATCCATGTAAGATGTCAGAACTGTTTGTGGGTTCTTCTGCTCAGATGAGTGGTATTCAAATGTTTTGGAGGGGATTGCATTCTTCCTGGAGAATCAAGTTTGTAGTCTGGGAATCATCTTAGATTCAAGCATTATTGTTCGAGGCCTCAGTAGTATGCACTGCCTTTTAGGCACTTAGGCTGATATACTCAATACAGAGAAATGATCTAGCTATGATTATTCATGCTATGATAATCCTCAGAGGCTTTTCTCTGTGTATCCCTACCAAATAAGGTAAGGTGGCTGATTGTTAAGGAGAGGACTTTTTCAGTGGCAGAATCCAGTTGTGGGATGATCCCTCTGTGGAAGATTTCCTGGTTATTACACTGTCATCTTTTTGGTGAAGAGCTTTTTATTTGCCCAACTGTTTAAACTTTCAGTTTAAAAAAATGCAATGTTGGCTTTATCTTTGTTACTACTTTTGTTTTATCATTTTAAATGTATGGTTTTCTATTACGTGGGCAAAAAGCATCAGCAAGTGCTATTTTTCTCCTGTTAGACAAAAAGCAACATTTTTCAAACTTTCTGTGCAGGGTACTCCAGCCCATGAAAGCATAATATGCTACAGTAAACTTTTGAGACTTTAATGTAGCATAAGGCATTGTGGCTTTTGAACACAAAAGTGCAAGAAGCCTAATCCTTCTTCCATGTGTATTCACTTTTCTCTACCCTACTACAAACTCCTGATGCCGAAGAGGACCCACAAAAATTGGGCTACATGGATGATGAACAAAGCATTTGAACTCAAGAAAGAAAGCAGGTGAGTTAAGGAACTCCAGATACCTGCCAGGAAGCCAATGACCTGGGGCAAGCAGTACATTCATATATTGCCACTCATTCAAAACCTTTTTCCAAGCAAACCAACTTCTGTTTCTTCTCAAGATAATGGGCCTGGGTCAGCTTGGAGAAAGCAACAAATGAGGAAGGCTTCTGGCACTCCATTTGATACGTGAGCAGCAAGAGTTCCTCCTCTTTAATCAGGGACTGGCTATCTACAATGGCCAAAGGCACAAGTGTCAAGCACACTCTGAGAAACCTCAACAACATTGGTTCTGTTAGTCAGTTCTGGACTTAATGAAAATAATGAGAAGATTGTAGAAGAAAACACTGTAGTCTTCCTTGAGTTTAAAAGACTGGTACCTTCATATTGTACTCTCTAGCAGTTTAGTAAAGGAGTGAGTCCTAAGTTCATCTAGCAATGGCAAAGCTGCTGAGTTCAAAGAGAAGAAGAAAGCTTTAAGGCAGATGATGTCATTCAGGTAGCTGTAAAAATCTGAGACCTAACTCAGAAGATCTGGGGACTCAAATCCTCCCTTAAAAAAATGAAGGCAACATTTGTTCCCTCTCTGCTCTCACAGTGGCAGGCAAAGACTATTTTATTCAGAAAGACTTTTGGCCTTTAAGTGGTTCTGTGAGTTGAGCGCTGTTTTTTTGAAACGGTTACATTTTATTGAATGATTATGAGTTTTACATTTTTAATCCATTGTTACATTGTTCAGTGGCATATTGTGGTAGAAAGGTAGGTATAAGTCAAATAAATGAATAATATTGATTAAAAAGATGATTCCAACATCAGACTGCTTTGAGTTCAGACTCTTCAATCTCACTTAGCTGAAACAAGGAAAATAAAAATTCTCAAAGCAAAACAGTAAAAGAGTGGTAATTCTCAGGTAATTAAGGACAAAGTAAAATATCCCACAACATTTCATTTGTGACTATGTGGTTTGGTACATCTTGGGGCTTTCAAATGCAATTTCCAAAATTCAAGTCATTATTGTTCTCCTTAAAACAGCTGATTTTACTGCTTCATTATTGAAGAGCATCTATTGTATCAGTTAAAGAACATATGCTGCTGCAAAACCCAGCTTTCAAGGTAATTTTGGCCATACTGTTAACTAGTCTACTAATGAGCATCAACATATGTACTACAGATATATGGCAGACATAATGACACAAAACAGATCAGATGTTCACTTCTCAACCAATACACATGGGTTTCCTTCAGCATCTGGACAGCCATTTCTTAACCTAAATAAAATGCAACATTTATGCTAATGAGTAAACACACAGAAACTTATATACTCACTACGTAATTCCCAGGCGACGCAGAAGAGTATGGTATCTGAAAGACAAAATTAAACCAAGTGAACTTTTTCCCTTCAGGAGGGAAAAAAGAGGATTTCTATGAACATTTATTAATTTTAAGAATAGTTTTTGAGTGAATGAACCATTTAACTTTACCCATTACTTTCACTGATTAAAGCACATTATGAAAGTCAGAAGATAAGTATTTTCCATTGTATTTCAATGTTAGCAATTGTTATCACAACACATTTGTAATTATATACAAATTACACACAAGAATGAGACACTATTAGCCAAACAAACTATCAAAGGTTCATACAATGGGAAATATTTTATTAGAAGTAGCTTACTCTATTGTTTCATATAAAATACCAAAGACAATGAATGGAGAAAAAGGCAAATGGCTAAATACCTCCAAAATGTGATTATTAAAATTGTAATCATTAAAATTAAGGAAGCAATGACCTCATAATTATGATGAACAGCTAACAGGCAATTAAATTTCCTTATTGCCCAAGCCCCTCCTTACCATCTGGTAGAAGGCCAAGTGAAAGAAAGACAAATGTGCCCAGGTGGTATGATGGAGAGAGAAACTGAGACCTAGGGTTACCTTTGAAAAGGCCCTATGATGTGTAACCACCCATATCACTTGAAAGGGCAGGGAAACACAAACTGTATTCTTCAATCAGATGGTGCCCATGTTAATAAAGTTATAAAATGAACAATGCATGAGGAGCTTGCATTTGTTCTTGTTTATGTCTAAAGGTATATAACAACAACTTCTTAGAAATTTTATTAGATTAAGCAGTACACAAATATTGCTATTGCTATGAACAGGACAACATTCAGTACATTTTCATATATACTCACAGAATTGGCATTTGTAGGGTTTGGCCAAGGTCTGCCACCTCCTGGACCCCTAAAAAAAAGATTAAATGAACAATATGAAGTTCTCACTTTTAACACAAAGTTAATGTGCTATTTAATGTGCAAAATGAGTTGTTCTTCTGTATAAATTAAGAACAGTTGGTATATCTGAACCTGATGAGGATGGTTGTTGAAGACAGGCCATTAAGAATCCATATTTTCGAGTTGTAGATGATAAAGCCAAATGAATAATCCTTTGTTATCAAGGGTGCATGTGCCAAGTTACAATATTGAGCCTGTTGTGGTTTGACAATCCCAAATGGTCCTCTTCTTCTCTGTTTTTCTTTTTTAAATTTTTTTTAACAATCAAAAATTATGATTTTAAGGCATAATTTACAAATGACCAAAAACATTAATACCTGGGCTGTCTTTTTGAAATCTATTCATAACTAAGCCTAGGGACTTAAGTATATTTTTCTATATGTAAAATATGTACAGTATATATGTATTCTTAGATTTAAGCAATTTTCATGTAAGAAAACTGTAGCACTTTATCTTTGTAAACATTTTTGGTTTTTCCTTAAACTACTGGCAACTTTACTGGCAAATCTTAATTTTCCCTGCAGTGTCAGTACTCTTGTCATTTAGATAATAGCATATTAAAAATAAAGAAGTAGATGAGAAAAAGAATACTTTAATGTACATATGAAAGAAATGGCTTAACACTTCTGTATCACAATCACTCCCTAGTGCTGAGAAGCAGACTTTCCAGAAATGACAACTGTGCTCCACAATCCTGTGAAGAAGTTCAGGGAGCCCACATTCTGAGGGCATGGGAAGGTAAACAACTGTGAAAATTGCTAGAAGACTTTGTTAATTACTACTTATCTTTTGGCATTATGGAATTAACAACACAGGAATCAACATGAAGGGTACTTCCAGATGAGGCATTTTAACATGTAATCACTTTGCCTCATTCATGAAATTTTACTAAGGAGTTCAGACAAAGTTGTCAGCTACTTGTAATTCTCCAGTGTCTTCCCACCAGTGTCTTTTTTCTTTATGCAGAAAATTTGTAAAGGAGGATGAAATAATTGCTACATAATGCCTTCTGATCATTAGTGCTTGAAGCCCTCTGTCTAACACAGACAGAGGGCTCCAAGCATATGGGGGTGGGCTTTGCAGTTATACAAAATTATCCTCACCACATATCCTCATTGGTAAGAAGTATTCTTGAGAATCACCTGCATACTCAATGGGATCACATGAAGACAAGTCTCACACAAAGTCTGTCAAAAAAACTGCTTTAGAGCAAACTGTCATAATGTGCCTGCATACTGGAGGCAGCACTATCCATGGGGGTTCTTTCTGGTCTAACTTCCTGCAATTCTACACCAATGGTTATGCCTGTAAACCTTCCTCTGGACAATTTATATGGGGGAAGTAATTTCCACAGTGTATGCACAGATGCAGCCCTAAGAACATCAGACCAGTAGTCCAGGTATGAAGGGCCACAGCTGCCCAGATTCTATTGCAAAACTCTCATTCAAGGAAGGAGACCATATGGTACAGACCATAGGACAGCAAGCACAAAGCATAAGAGATTTTGCAGAAATTAGACATGCTGTGCTCTTGTATACCATGTCTTCTAGGCATGAGAGCTCTTCATATTTCCATTCCAAAAACAGAACATAGCTTTCCTTGCAAATTTATATTCTGTTCCCTTTGATATTAACCAACCTACTCCAAGGACAGGCTTCAGGCAAAATACAGCTATCTCTTCAATTGTACAGAACCCTGTAGTATCAAATTATACCCCAGCTACAAATGACTGAGTCACCAAAATGAACACTGTTCCCTGGGATTTCTTTCCAAACCATATGTACTGTTTAGGAAAGATGAAATTGGCAGTCAAAACCTTCCTGTGGGCAGGGGCCAGGCAACCTGGTGTCTCTTGATATTTTAAACCAGCCTTCCTCAACCTGGTAGCCTTCAGAGGCATTTGGACTATGACTCCCAGAATTCCCATCCAGCAGGGCCATTGACTGGGAATTTTGGGTGTTGCAGTCAAAACGTTTTTGGAAAGCCCAAGTTTAGGGAAGGCTGTTTTAGATCACAACATCTGTGATCCCTGGCCACACTGGTTGGGACTAATGAGAGCTCTATTCAAAACATCAGAAAAGCATCAATTTGTTTCCTGCTACTGGATCCATTCAGTGGAAGAAATGTAGATAGAAGAAACCCTTCTGGTCATAAACTGGAAAGTCAGGATCTGATTCAATGTGTTGTAAAATTTATTAGGTATACTATTGGTGAAACTGATAGATAAGATGAACAGATGCAAGTCTGTGCAGTAATGAAGGAGTAGTGGAATGCTTAATATTTCAAGCAAAGTTATGCATTAATATTAACATTCAAATAGCATGGTTTGCAAAAGCAAAACCACAAATGGCTATATCTGCTACAAAGCATATAAACAAAGAAAACCCACTTAATATGATTACATTACTATTTTTGACAAACATAAAACCAATGAAGGGGAAAAGTCCCATATTTTTCCATGTATAAGACGCTACTTTTTCTTAAAACATTTACTTAAAAATGGAGGTGTGTCTTATACACGGGGGGGGCGGCGTGTGTGGGTGGGGGGCTGTGCATGGGGGGTGGCAAGCAAGTGCGGGCATGGGTGGTGAGTGGGGGGGTGGCAAAGCGGCGTGGGCAGGGGGCAGCATGCAGGGGGGTGGTAGCAGCTTGCTCGCTGGAGATGGGTAGGAAAAGTGGGGGGCATCCTGCACATGGGGACGTCCTATACATGTTAAAATACGGTATGATGTATGAAAACCAAGGTAGTCAAACAAACAAAAAAACAAAACAAACCTGAGTTGTTTTGTGTTTGATTTGCTAGATGAGTAATGAGTACTTGTATTACAACATTAGTGATGAAAACTGAATTCCAAATAACACATAGTAGGACATTTAGATTGGTATCAAGATCTTGGCTTTTAACAAAATCTTCAGACTTGGTCTGATGCCACAAGAATAGCAACTTCATACTGGTACTCTAATAATTTTCACAACTGTGGTGTACTAACCAATTAATCAAAATGTCTCTACACGTCTCTGTGTATGTGCGAAATATGTACATAGGCATGCATTCACCCACACACTATGCTACTAGTTCTAATTAAAAACAGTATCATGTTTGCCATAAATATTTTAGTAGTGTATTATTTACTTACATATTCATTCCAGGCATTCCAGGGCCACCTAAAGCATTCAGTGGGGGTCTCATTGCACCTCCATAGTTCTGCAATGATAACCAAGGGTCAGACTACCACAAAACAAAAAAACAAAACCAAAGAGGAGGGGGGAAAGAAAGGACAGCATGTTAATGACTTCCCTACACATCTGCTAATTGGACAGGCCAGTGCCATTCAATTTCAGGATTTTAGTTGCTTGATGTAAGAACAATTTACAGGCTATCCTTGATATTTTAAAAAGCTATTTAGCATCTCCTAATAGTCTTATTATCATAACAATGGAAGTAAGCATATTTACAAATGTTAGTTAATTCATCAATTTTGTAAAATTTATGGAAGCTAACAAAATTTTCAGTAAGGGGCAGATTTCATAGCCAATGCAGAAAGCTGACTTGATATTCTAAAAAATATTTAAAGGAATTCTGATTGATTTTAAAGTCAGCTGCCTAAATTAATGTTAGTAACTTTAGAGTCAGAAGCGCATGCTTATACCACACAAGTCGACTGCTACATTTACTTAATAAGCCATCTACATCAATGGTCAGGTTAGAAAACTGGAATGGGCATGTTAGAAGACTGGCAATATGCCTATGACCAGCCCATGTTCTGTTCATAACAAAAATGTGTGTTCAGCAGAGTTGTTAGGTTGTCAAATATAGCAACAGAACTATTTATCTGAAGAACTAATATAAGCTATGATGTTACACCTGTCTGTACAATATTGTAACATGGCCTGTACATGATTGTAATGTGATATGTTTTTTCAACAAGCTTCATTTCTTTGGAGAAGTGAAGATAGGCAAATCTGTGGGTGCTTGGAAACAGCCAGTATAACCATTATAAAGCTTTGACAACAAATTGAAATAAGCATTTCAAATAGACTTTCCTGAGAATCTATTTGATAAACCTTTGTTCTAGCATATATGCTCCAATCACAGTGATACACAAGCAGTTAATGTGATCTTGAGACTCTGATTTGGTTCTCATGATCAAGGTAACTCACTGTGGCCTATTTATGCCATGGCTCTGAGAGGCTTGTTAACCATACCAACACAAAGCCACCCTTCTCTCCAAGTTCAGATGACATGAGAGTCAATGCTCGGCAAGGAAAATTATATAAATCAGGCTTCATGTAATTGGCCTACAAAGGGTTAACAAGACACTGTGGCTTAACCACCACCCTTGTTTCATGTGAACTGGCCTTTATTATACAATATTGAAGTCTTCCAGAAATATATATAAGCACCGGCCATAAAGTATATAAAATTAATTCCTTTTAACAGTTTCAACATCAGCTTAAAATTATCATTGATGAGTCTCATCAAATACCCACTAACCTATAACCATATATTGGAATAAGAAAAGTAGCATAGAACTGTATAAGCCTGTTTTCTAAAGAACTTTATTTTTAAAAATTTTAAAGAGACATGGTTAGGCTTCCCTTCAGCTGTCTACATGGCATGACAGGTGTAGTGCCCATTTTTAATATGTAACCCCATGCCTGGGGAGTTCTTGTGTCATGCAAACCCAACAAACATGTTATACAACGCATGGTCTGCTTTGATGTTAATCTTTCATATAACCAAGACTCTCCAAGTTTGCACAACACAACCCTCAAGCAGCAGTTGGATATATAACCTTGTATATATAATACACTAGTGGACTATTGTAATGAGCTCTATGTGGGGCTGTCCTTGAAGATGGTCCGGATACTTCAGTTGGTCCAGAATAGAACAGCCAGGATATTAACAGGGACCAGCAAGTATGAACATACAGTGCTGGTCCTTTACCATCTACACTGGCTACCAACTGAAGTTCAGGCCCAATTTAAGGTGCTGGTGATGACTATAAAGCCCTAAACAGCTTAGGACCTGGTTATCTTAAGGATCATTTCCTTCCCTATGTGCCTTCCTGCTCCTTAAGAACTGGCATGGAGATCCTTCTTTGGGAGCCCTCCTTGAAGGAGATTAGGAGGATGGCTATCCAGAGAAGGGCCTTCTTGGTGGTGGTGCCCCAGCTATGGAATGCAGTCCCCAAAGAGGTCCACCTGGTGCCGACTCTGTATTCTTTTCCGCGCCAAGCTAAAACCTTTTTATTTGTCCATTATTTTAAGGTTGACTAGTATTTAATGGGGGGGGGGGGTTGACTTATTGGATGCTCTGCTTCATTTTATTCTGTTTTTATTGTAGACCATCCAGAGACTGTAGTAGTTGGACAGTATATAAAGGCTTTAAAAATATACATATTTAAACCATGTATACAGGTTATATATAACATGTGCACATAGACACTGTGACTCCTTGCAACTCAGTCTTTGCTTCAGTGGAGCTTGCTCAGGTGTCCTTTGAAATTAAGGTTTTGGAGCAGCAAATATTCATTGCACAACATTGCACAACAACCCAGAGTCATAACTTGACAAGTTTCCTAGCAAATGTATTTTCCATTTTATAGTGTTATTATGGAGTTCCCCTTTAATATTAACATATCAAATCATCAAAATATATATATCTAAGGGTTCTATTTTGCTTTTCCTTTTTCTGAACAGTTTGTGGATGTAAGCTTTTTTTTTAGTACTATCTATGATAAATTTGTTTCTTTGCTGCAATTTGATACAATAGATTTGGATATTCTTTTCACAGGTCTAAATTTTTAACTGTTATGGTAAATGGCTAAAAGATATAAAAAGATAAATCTGATTCAAGGTAATGAGGGGGATAATGAAGAGATTAGATGGTAAATCATTAACAACTAAGCATAATTCAACTTTTTAAAAATGTGGTTTCATTCATGTGCTTCCTTTCCTTCTTTCTTTTCTTAATTTTGTTTCATGTTTCTCTCAGGAATAGCCATTGTAGCTGTGAAACATTGAAGGTTTAATTTTTATACAATTTTGGTTAAGGTGAAGTAAAACAAATGCTATATTTTAACCAGATCTTAACTATTCTACCAAGAGAAAACAGTATGTATTATGGATATATGAATAAATATAAATCTCTTACCAATGCATTATCACAGTTTGCCCCAGGCTTCTTGTACTCAGAAATATACCACTTCAATATATGGTGGTTCATTTACCTAACATGGAATTGATAAGTAAATGGAAAGTCTATGTACATATTGTTTCTAAGTACAGAATGCTGAAAAGAGTAGAGATGGCCATTCTCAACATGCCCTATTTAAAATCTTTCAGAGGAATCATACAGGCTGCTGCTGAAATCATATAAACTAGATGAATCCTGGGTTATCCCAGGAGGATGGCATGGATATTCTGGGCTACATCACACAGCAGTGGTATAGTTGTATTATGAGTATACATTCTTATGAAAAAGGGAATTGGCTGACTATGTGAACTACAACACAAACAATATACCTGAGGTCCTAGTGGAACCATTCCTCTAGGAGGAGTCATCCTCTGCATAGGTCCGCCCATATTCGGATGGCCTGAAAAAGGTATTGTATTTTAGGGCTACAACTTTTACATTATCTGTCAGACTAATTATAATGTTTTTATACTCATAATCACATTTAAGATTAGAAAGCAGGTCCTCTCTCTCAATTATTGTTTAAACAAATACTAACCAAAACAACACAAAACAAAACAAAAACATGTGTAGCAGGCACCATCATAGTTAAGCTATTCTTGTTTCTCTCATTTACAAACAGAATGCTTTTTCCAAGGTGGATCTACCACAACATCTGCAAGGGTACCTAAAAATAAAGAATTTGTTTTTTTTTTTTTTCAGAACATCAGTTTAATTTGTATGAAAACAAAACAGATTAACAATACAACCACTGATGCTGAGCAAACTGCTCACTGTAAATATATCACAAAACATACTCCAGTTTGTTTTTAGTTAGACACACAGAACTTTGTTAAACACTTTTTGGGGAAAATAACAGAGCTACATAGTATTAATTCAATCAACTGAAACCCACAGAATTAATTATTAATTCTTTAATTTACTGACACTGCTATATAATATAAAATGTTGTTTTTCTTGTTGTTTTGTTTAGCTTCTTGTGATTAATTCAGTCAAAGGATTTGCTGTGGCCTAAAATTTTTTGGTGACCTCCAGTAGCCAATGATATGATCTCAAGTGCCCTTTCCTTTTCAGAATCCAGCTTGACCATCAGGCATTTCTCACTCCATACAGGGTAATATTCTTTGTTGCCACACCTTGAGCATGACTTTGCTTGCATGAAATTACTGCAATGGTCCTGTAGTTGCTGCATTCCTTAGCAACTCCTTTCTTGGGGACTGGAATGAATATTGAGCATTTCCAGATAATGGGCCTTTGTTTTGTTTTCCACATTTGTAGTCATATTCTTGTTAGGATTTAGATCAATTCAGTCTGCAGCTTGGAAGAGTCTTATTGGTATCCTTTCTACTCCAGGTGCTTTATTTTTTCCAATTACTTTCAGAGCAGTTCTCACTTTCATTTCTAATATTGCAGGCTCTTCCTCATAGAATTGCTCTTTTAAGGTGTCTGTCATTCTTTTGTCTCTTCTGTATACCTCTTCCACATATTGCTTCCACATTCTCTGTATTTTACCTGTTCAGAGGGTATGGTCTCTTGTTGGTCTTTCAGCATTCCTAATCTGGAGTTGACTTTTCCTTTGATTTTTGAGATCTTTTGGAAGAAGTCTTTTTTATGTAAAAAGCTCATGGTTACTAGAACAATCTGCTCTGGGTCTTGCTTTGGCAGTGAAAATTCAGTTTCTCCATCTCCTCTCTTCCATTATGTAGTCTGTTTGATTTTGTATTGGCCATCTGGTGATGCCCATGTGTACAGTTTGATTAGTTGCCCGAGGTATCCTGGTTTCACAGAATGCTGTGAGACATTCTCCTGCTTCTTTCTAATCTCTAGGTCAAATCTTCCCACAACATTGGATACAGCTCTGCTTCCCACTTGTTTCCTACACATGTCTGGTTTTGGTGTGTTTCTCCTTGGATGACTGAATAAAACATTTTCAATTGCTTCTTCTTCAGAATCTGTAGTTAGAACATAGACTTAAATGATTGTTATGTTGATAGATTTTCCTCAAATTCTGCTTGATATAACTTGACTTTGCATTATAGCCTCTTACTGCCTGCGCTACATCTGCCTTAGTAATACAACCATAGTATTTCTTATGAGTTTATCATTTCCAGTATAGAACTTTGTACTTGTATGACTGAAAAATGTCCTATTCCAGTCCACTTCAGTTCACTCACATCAAGTTTAACTGATTCATTTTTTGCTTTTCAGTTTCCAGTTTGTCTCAAGTCATACTTCTCATGTTCCACATGTAAGTGCTGTGCAGTACTGGACTTTCCTTTTTGCTTCTGTGCATGTCATCCACTAGACTTCCTTTTGAACTAGTTGCATCATTAGTGACAATACTTTTCATATTTGTCCTTTGCTCTTCCCCAGCAGCTAACTGAGTGCCTTCCAATCTGAGTGTCTCATATTCTGGCACTACGTATTGTTTTAATACGGACTGTTTCATCATAGGGTTTGTAAGGTAAGAAAATTCAGAAGTGGTTTACCTTTGCCTTTTTCTGAGCAGTACTAACCAGAGTTAGCCTGAGTTGTGAAAGATCCTCTGCAGGTCGCCTTCAACTAACACTGCTGCCCAGTAGCTACCCCTCTATTATCTTTGTGGATGTGATTGTTACAGCTAAAAAGGGTGGATGCATTGCAGTTGGGTGTCTCAGCTCTGACTATTCCTTCTTTGATTAACCTGCCAGGGTACAAGCAGGTTGCTTACCTGTAACTGATGTTCTTCGAGTGGCCATCTGTGCAGTCACATATATGGGTGCTGCGCCTGTGCAGTGCCTTTGGCCGGAAGATTGCAAGCTAACAGTTTTTGGCAGGAAAGCTCCGCTCCCCCTCCCCCATAGCCTATAAAGAGCAGAGCATCTGCCATTTTGTTCAGTCTTTGACAACCGAACGTATGCCCCCATGTGGAAAAAAAATTGCCAGTATGAGATAGGAAAAAAGATCAGTACCATGAAAAAAGGGAAAAATTTCGGTACCGATAAATATGTCCACTCACTGACACCAAATGGGGCCGGCGGGTGGGGTGTGTGACTGCACAGATGGCCACTCGAAGAACATCAGTTACAGGTAAGCAACCTGTTTTTCTTCATCGTGGCCTCTGTGCATCACACGTATGGGTACATTAACAAGCTTTCCATAAAAGGAGGAGGGGAGGTGTCCTCAATGAAGAATAGATGAAAGAACGGCTCTGCCAAAGGAGCAATCTTGCCGACCCCGAACATCTAGACGATAATGTCTGGCAAAAGTGCACGGGTTCGCCCAAGTAGCAGCTCGGCATACATCATCAATCAGGACACCCGATGCAAAGGCAGATGAGGCTGCAACAGCCTTAGTTGAATGGCTTCGAGGGGCTGTAGGTAATTCAATCTTAGCCAGTTGATAGGATAAAGTGATAGTACGGACTATCCACTTGGAAAGTCTCTGCGGAGTGACTGGATCGCCTTGATCTCTGGTGGAATATTTAACGAATAGTCTATTTGAGTGTCGAATAGATTCAGTCCTCGATCTGTAAAAGGCTAAGCAGCGCCGAACGTCAAGTGAGTGCAACAATCTTTCAAAAGGAGTTGACGGTGATGGAAAAAAGCAGGTAAGATAGTATCCTGTCCCATATAAAAAGATGTAGCCACCTTAGGAAGAAAAGATGGATCGAGGCGCAAAACGACCTTTTCTCTGTGAAAATTCAGGTAAGGAGGGTCTATGCGGAGAGCGCAGAGCTCACTGGCCCTTTTGTGAGCCGCCCCGAGGCTTTGTTGTGATGGGGGCAGCATAGAAATGTTTTAAATAAATAAATAAATAAGTGACCGCAACAAGAAACGCTGTCTTCCATGAAACCAGATGTAAATGGACTGTTGCCAATGATTCGAAAGGAGCTCTCGTAAGTGCTTGCAGAACAACAGAGAGACTCCATGTAGGCATTACTGACCTGATTGATGGATTAAGATTATGAAGTCCTTTAAGAAACCTCTTAACAGTAGGTTGAGAGAAGATGGTTGATCCGTCAACCAAGCCATGATGGTAGGCTATTGCTGTCGTATACACTTTAACTGAAGACAGTTTCAATCTGGAATGGTGCAGTTCTAATAGGAACTGAAGGATTTGATGTATCGATGATGTAAATGGAGAGAACTAACGAGACTTGGCAAAGGTAGAAAATCGTCTCCATTTAGCCACGTAGGACTTCCGTGTGGACGGCTTCAAAGCAGAATCAAGGATGTGTTGGATATCAGGATGAAAGGCTGTCGGATTCGATGGATCAATCCTTGAATCCGATGGTACGGAAGGAAGAAATGAAGAGGAAACGCCGAATCCACTGGATTCGACAGCAGGATTTGATTCACTTGAAGTTGTCGTCGATACCGGTGGCTCAATGGTAGCTATCGGATTCGCCACGCTGTTAAGTTCAATGACAGTAAATCTGGATGGTGAAGCGTACCGCCCTGCTGGGTTATGAGGTATGGGAACAGTGGTAGATGGAGGCATTCCCCGCGAGAGAATGGCCACCAAGGGGCAATTAGTATCCCCGAGGCTCAATTGTATACTATCTTCGCTATCACTCTCATCATAAGAGGGATTGGTGGGAAGGCGTAAAAGATCAGATTGTTCCAGGGGATCATGAATGCATCCCCTAGGGATCTGTCCCTGATTCCCACTCTCGAACAGTAAGCATCGCACACCTTGTTCTGTTGGGTGGCGAATAAGTCCACATCGGAGAACCCCCAGCGATGAAAGAGATGGTCGCATGTCCGAGGATCTAGTTCCCATTCGTGAGAGATGAACATGTGCCTGCTGAGGACGTCTGTTTGCACATTGTCCGTACCAGCCAGATGGACTGCCATCAGCATAATGTCTCTCGGAATGCACCAGTTTCAAATTTTCATTGAAAGTCTGGCCAAAGTTGGGGACTTTGTTCCACCTTGTTTGTTCAGATTGAAGACAGTTGCTATGTTGTTCGAAGTTATCTGAATGACCTGATGTTGGAGAACATCCTCGAAAGAGTGTAGGGCCTTGAATACTGCCAGTAGCTCCAGGAAGTTGATATGATTCGTGGATTCTCGACGATTCCATGTGCCTTGGGTGTATAGGCCGGAGCATATCGCTCCCCATCCCAGAAGAGATGCATCGGTACCAAGGGTTATTGAAGGACATCATGGCCTGAAGGGAACCCCAACAGTCAGATTGGCTGGTACCGACCACCAGAGCAGAGAATGGAGCACCGAGGATGGGATTCGAATCAATTTCGACAGTGGGTCTCTCTGTGGGTGGAACATCTTGTTGAAGAGGACTTGTAATGGACAGAGTCGAAGTCTGGCGTGTGGCACCACAGCAACCGAGGAAGCCGTATTTCCCAGGATCCTCTGGATGAACTTTGCCGGGACCATCCCGTCTCATCGCATTCGATGGATGCGGCGAGCAAGAATCTGTTGTCTGTCCCGAGGAAGGAAGGCTTTCCCCAACGTTAAATCCAGGCGGGCTCCAATGAAGGTAAGTGTCTGCGTCGGAAGAAGAGAAGATTTCTCGGTATTAATGCATAGGCCCACATCATCCAAGTACAACAGTACAACAGATTGTACGGATGGATGCGAGGAGTCCTTCCCTAGACTGGGACACTAGCAGCCAATCATCAAGATACGGGTAAATTTGTATGCCTTGGAGGCATAGGAAAGCGCAGACAGGGGCCATACATTTGGTGAACACTCTCGGAGCAGTGGCCAGTCCAAAAGGTAAAACTGTAAATTCGTAGAAATGGGGTACAACAGCAAAACGAAGGAAATGCCTATAACTTGGGTGGATCGAAATGTGGAAATAGGTGTCCTTCAAGTCCAATGAGGCGAACCAATCCTCTTTCCTTAGCAGCGGCAAAATATTTTGAAGGGTGGTCATTCGAAACTTTTTTGTCACCATAAATCAATTCAGATTACGTAAGTCCAAAATCAGACGTAGACCACCATCCCGCTTCAGGACCGTAAAATATCTGGAATAGAATCCGTGGAGTCTGTCAGGTGGGGTTACTTGACGAATCGCTCCTTTACGAAGAAGTTGTTGTATTTCATCGAGTAGTGCCAGTGAGCATGATGTAAACCAGATCGGACTCAAAGGAAGAAAGATGTCGAATTCTATCCGATAGCTGTGCTGAATGATGGACAATACCCACCGATCAGATGTGATGGACTCCCAAATGTGGAGTCCGCTTCACAGCCGATCCCCAGATGAGAGTGGGGTGGGTATAGAAGGAATCAGAGGAATGGTTTGCCAGTCCCGTCAATGCTGTCTCCTATCATCGAAACGGCGGCGGCCCTGCTGATAGCGTTGCTGGGGCTGTAGGCGGCAGCGCTGCTGTTGCTGCTGCTGTCGGTGCTGGGGCTGCTGTCTAGGCTGGTAGGACTGCCTATAAGATGGACGAGTCCATGACCACTTATGCCTAGTCTAGGTCTGTAGCACCATCCTGCATGCCGTCATGTGGGATTCATGTAGTTTCTTTAACTTGTGGTCAGTGTGTGAGTGGAAAAGCCCGGACCCGTCGAAGGGCATTTCCTCTATCCGACGCTTAGTCTCCTCCGTCTCCTTGGCAGGGACTTCTCTACATCTGCCTCCAGAGTGGCTGTGGGCGTAGGTGTGGGCAACCTAGCCCTAGGGGGGGAGTCCTGAATTTTCCCATCAGAAATTGAGCCTCTTTGTAGAGTTGGAAGTGGCCCAGCAGGAAGGTCAGCCACATGGCGAGGGGACCCTTGAGGGGTAACCCTCATAGCTGCCTGAAGCACCGGGTCGGGTGGAGTTGGTACGGTAAGTGCCACCGGTACCGAGGGGGCCATCGAATCTGAGTCCCGGTGTCGAGGACGCTCTGGATCCTTTGATTTTTTTGAAGGTTTAGGAGCCTTCTCCTTCCTGGCCTTCTTATGGCCTGCCGATTTGTCAGGTTCAGCATGCTTGCGCTTCTCGTGCTTCTTCTTGGGAGAAGCAGGTGGAACCACCATAGCAGATGCTCTTTCGTCTGAAGAGCATGAGGGTGGAGCCATTGAAGCGGAGCCAGGCTTTGGAGCAGCAACGAGCGGGTCGGACTGCATGAGAGCTCAATCCCACAACAACCTCTGGAGGTGATTCTCACGATTCTTCCTGGCCTGCTTAGAGAAGGCCAGGCAGTGAGAGCATTTATCAGTCCTATGCCCCTCCCCCAAGCAGAGGAGGCATAGGTCTTGCGGATCGGTCGGAGACATTTTTGACCCGCACTCCGCCCATTTGCGGAAAGCTGCTCGCTGCGCCATAGCAAGAAAGAGAAAAAAGGGAGATAGTACAGAGGGTAAGTATATATTTTTGGGGGGGTTTTTTTTTGATAGAAGATCAAAAGGAAGGTAGAAAGATAGAGAAAACTACAAGAACTATAGGAACTATAAGAACTATTAGGAACTAACAAGAACTAGAAGAAATACTGAGGCTATAACAACTGGGAGAACAATCGAGAAGAAGAACAGGCTAGACAAGCAACGGTCAGATCGAGAGCGAAAGCGGCACGAGGCACAGAGAATGGCGGTCGCAAAGACTGAACAAAATGGTGGACGCTCCGCTCTTTATAGGCTATGGGGGAGGGGGAGCGGAGCTTTCCTGCCAAAAACCGTTAGCTTGCAATCTTCCAGCCAAAGGCACTACGCAGGCGCAGCACCCATATGTGTGATGCACAGAGGCCACAACGAAGAACAGCCTAGTGAGACTGGACTGCAATGCTCTTGGCATCTCTTAAACTCTCAAACCCCCGCATCACATTAAGATGTGCATCCAAGGAGGAGATAAAACTTTAGGATATTTTACTATTATTCAAAACATTGATTGGTTAAATAAACCTCAGCAGCTACAGAACACATTGCTAGATACACGTTATAATGGTATAAGCAATAAGCAATTTAAAAGTACAATGTTTTAAGGTAAGTAAGAAATTTCAGTCTCTAAGAGCTTTTGCATAAAAATCCAAATTAACTGAAATCAACTCTCAAAAGATAAAAGTCCTTATGATTCAATTTATAAAGAAAAAGAAATTACCAGAACTCAAGATTTAGGCATGGCAGCTGTTTTTTTTCCACTAAGAGATGATTGAGTAAAATGGTTCCTCCCATTTATCTTATGCTCATGAAATACCTGTAAAAAAATGATAGGAACACCCCACCTCCTGTGTCACAGGTAGTACCCCTTTTAAGACCATCATTCCAACTGCTGAATACACTGGCAACTGAAGGCAATGTACCAAAAATATCTGAATTAAGTTTTTTATTTTCCAATAATACACTTTACCTTGTTGCCGTGTTGGATCCATTCCACTTGGCAATAATGGCTGACTTCCTGGAACACCTCCAAGTGCCTATAAACAAAAAGCATCATCATCATCAAAACGAAATTAGTTCAGATGAGATTTTTCTTTAAAAAGCAATCTGTTTTCATGTTAAAGACAACAAATATAATTTAAATAAAAGATTCAAGGTAAGAATCAGTTGATCAAATACAGACTGAATGTAACATTTATCCTCTAGGTTTACTTGCTTATGTTATTAAGACATATTACCCCCTATTTTACTGGTATTAACAAAAAGCCTACCATAACTTTCTATTAAAAACATGGCTAGACCAGTCAACTATGTGATGTACTTTATTTAAAAAATGCAGCAATCCTGAATGTGAAACTCCCACTAATTTCAGTGGGAAATTAGTGCAATTCCTTCTTGTAGTTAAGTATAATAAAGCATGCCAATTTTCTTCACATTTTAATGTAATACTTAATTCAATGAACATAAGTGTCTTACTTTTTAATTATAGAATATTTTCAGTTTTTAAAATAGCATGCCATTTATTCAGTGTTTTAAGAAACCTATCTTGTGGGAAGACAAACAAACAAGAGACAATGACTTATCTATAGTTAATAGGTTATGCAGTGAGGGTTCCTTACAAACTGAATAGTTCATGTAGAATTTAAAGCAATAGATAAGTTCAGCAATGCTTAGGAAGCCTCATGTCATGTTAAAACAGTTTCTCTCTTACCATGGCATTATTGTTGGTTGCTATGGACTGATATAGTAAAGAGATGAAAACAATGAGACTCCTGACTTTATAATGGAACTGTGTGAAACATGTTGATGTGATGTGTCCCCAATATAATAAAACCTGACTGATGTTAACACAAATATCATGATGTTTGCACTATGTATAAATTACTATAACTTATAATGAAAGTTTAGTTTTTCTAGTTTACCCTTTTTTTACTATTTGCATTTAATTAACAAATGGATTATTACCTGATTGGGTATTCTTAAAGGTGGTCTTGGGCCTCCAGGGTATCGGGGGGACATGAAAGGCTACAAAAGGAGAGAACTGCATTAGGAACATAGGCAGAAACATTTCATTTATTTATTTAAAACTTTTCTATATTGTCCCATCACAGACATCTCGGGACAGTTTACAACACCATTAATAGAACAGAATAAAAATGTAAAAAAATTTATGAAATTTAAGTAAGACTTTGAGACTAACCCAGACTTAAAGTAACATTAAGTTGTTTTTGCTATGCAAACTATTACTATACTTCCTACTTAACTGAAAAAATACATTCTTCGTTGAGTATAATCTAGAGTTGGAGATACCAACACTTCTTTCCTCAGAAAAGCAAAAAGTCCAGCCCATTGAGACATCACATTAAAGCCAGGAAACCTGGCTTAATAAACCATATTTTCAATAAGAGCATACTAAACCATAATATGGAAAGAGAAGCTTTTACATACACCCATAGATATTAGATGATTTTGTAGTCAGAGCTACAAAATATGCCTATGCCCCTTTATACTTTTCTGTAAATATACTTCTAACCCAAGCAATAGTATGCAGGGCTGAGGATGAGGATTAAGGCACAGTTTAATATAAATAAGCCTCAGTTAAGTTAGGTTAAAGGCTTTGCAAAGCTTGGCCAGATAAACTTGGGGATTACACAGTTCATTTGTGCTCTAGGTTCAAGAGCATTGATGAGACTGCACTGTTACCCATGGTTTTAAACATCAGATTTGAGAGCATTTGTACAGCTGTGTCCAAACTATGATTAGTGTCCAGCACTTGGACAAAAATCAAGGAAATACTTTCACTTTCAGAAAAGGTTGTGTTTCAAACATATACATTTTGACATAAATACTGAATTCATAAAAATTTGATTCTGCTTTTTCTATAACAATCACTTAAACCTTTGTGAGGTGTTCTTCCATACAAATGTGAATTATAGTAATTATAATTACTATATTACAGTAATTATATCTGCATCTTTGAATACTTTAATGGCGGGGAATAATATCATCATGGTAACACAATTTGGTGTATTATTCTTCAGAGCATTTCATTCTCCAGAAGTAAAGACAGAAATGTTTACATGAATATGCATATAAATATTACCACCTAACCAATTTTATAAACCCAATACATTGAACTGTGCAAATAAAACACCTAACATAATATACATATTATATTGTCAAGAACTGAGCTGTGTAACAATGTCAATGATGCAACTAGCATCTAAGTCCCAGACAGGTTCTCACGTTTCCCAAATTCTGTTAGTACATCAGATTTTAGCTGCCAGATTAGTAGTGCCCAGATCATTTTTTTTGGTAGGGATATGCTCACAATCAAGCTTATTACATGCTAAATTTAGTTCATTACATTGCTCGTTTTGAAGTATGCAAACAGCTAACTATATTTTCTGAATGGATCTAATGTTTTACGTGTGTCCTATACTTACCTAAATCTTAAACCACTGCCTTATCTACCCTGCCAAATGAAATGAGGCAGGTAACTAATGAGAGGAGGGTGAAGCACCTCCTCAGAAAAGCTGCTCTCATCTGAGTCATATTTTACTATATGTTTTGAGCTATTAAAGGGTTTTATTTTTCTTTTCCACAAGTTCATTTGCAGCATTTTATTGTCTTTGCTGTAGTTTTTTTTTTTTTTTTTCAAGTTTCTTCTGTGAACCCAGAGAAAATTCAGCAAGTAAAGAAAATCTATGGCCAGGCCAAATGCAGTCCACAAACATCATGTCAGGATTGACTGCAAAATAAATCTAACCCACAGTTTTCTTTACTGATTTTTTATACATGATGCCTTTTAGACCCAAATGGTTATAAAGAACTGGTTGAAGAAGAGAGTGACTGAGGAGTTCCTACATGTAATCTGAGTGCACATGGCTGATAACTGCCAAATCCTGAGCTAGAATGGCAATAAAAGATACAATCTAACAATATTGATCTTAATTATGCAATGTTAAGGTAGTGCACAATATTATTTTATCAAAATATTAAGAAATACAAAGATAAAATATGCAAATAGCCTAACTATTACACTTGACTTAAACTATTAGACATGTACCTGTAATTCCAGACAGAGCTGGGGAAAACACAACCCTGAATTGTTTAACTTGTAACAAAACCAGGCTTAATCTCTTAAATGATGAACATGGATCTGATAATCCCTAAAGTCCTTGTTGTATACCACTTCCACCTTGGAACTGTTTATATTGCAAAGTATTGACAAAAAGGAAGCAAAGGCACTTTTTTGAAATATTCATTTGCTTTATTCATAATAGCTCCAGACAACAGGCCTCTGTTCTTTCCTTGAATAAGAAACGAAGATAAATAACTGGTTATGTATAAGGGCTAGAAAAGACATGTTCTATGCTGATTTGAAAGGAAAGAAAGGGTGTCATAAGATAAAATTAATGTATGAGACCATTCTGAATGATTTACCAACATTTAAGTAGCAAATGTTAAAAACCCTTAGCAATATACAATAGCTGAACAGGATCTATTTCTATGACTACATTTGTGGCAATGAAATAATAGTTTAAAATAATCAATTACTGGTCCACAACATACAAAAATGGTAAGGTGAAATTATGTATGGCAAAGACATGTATCAGTATACTTGGGGAAACAATAACAGCAAATTAGTTGACTCACACTGGATGGCAAAATTAATGTTACAGGGTACATTGGTCTTCGGAAAGTAACTAATCAAACCAACAAATAGACAATATCACATAATGTATTAAATAAACGAAATATGGAGAAGAGGGCAGCGGGTGAGAAGTGTGGTTCAATGTATTATTTAAAGAAGGTACTGAAAAATGACTACAGAGCATCTGGCTCAAAATATGAACCACTTTATATGAAGAAAAATTTAAAATGGTACACTGGAAATGAGCAAACTATTGTTGTAATGGCAGTTGCAAGTAATGTGTTTCAGATGGGTGCTTTTGTATACCTTCCTACCTGACCATGAGGTCCCATCGTGGGATTGCTGGGGTTGTGAGTGAGGGGCTGTGCATGGGGTGAAGGCTGTGAACCTGCAGGCCCCTATGGATTAATAACATTGGGGAAAAGATTAGAAACATTTTCCTAGGCTGTTTTCCCCATTTTATTTCAATCTTCCAAAACTATTCAGGATGGAACATGAACTGAAATGTCAGTAATCAGGTCCTTTGAGGATCAACACACTGCCTGTTGTAAAACAGCATACCTGCACCATTGTGACTACTATACAAAATCAGTGCAAATTTTAATGAAATTACTGCATTAAAGAACATCTAGTAGTCCACACACATCAGGTGTCAACAAACAGTTTAACTGTAGATGCAGTCCTGCAATGGAAAGATAATGGGCAAGTGACTGGGACAGAATATATAGCAAGGGAAGATTGCAAAAGTGATGCTGGATACAAAGAATGGTCTGCTTATCGGATCTCATTTATATGTGTTCCATAGAGGAGAAATAGATTTAATTAATAACCAAGCATTACATCTAGAATGTGAAAAATATTAAAATGTCAATATGAGATATGAGAAAGGAGGACTGTAAGAAATCTGAAAACTTGTTTTCTTAGCTTAATTGTTTAGAAAGGACTCTTTGGCAAATATAAACAATATATTGAAGGAGAAAAGTATTTTAGAGCATTTATTGTGTATAAATATAAATTCCTGACAGAAATGAAATTAATTTATCATACTTTACACAATAAATCACAATCCAGTTTTGATTAAATATTGCATGTCAATTAATGTCAAGTGAAACTACAGTTTTACTTTTGAGTTCACATTTTATATCAAAAGTAACAATACAAAAAGAACTGGAATACTTTATGCTCCTATGAGTTCTTTACATTCCCATGAATGTCAAAGTTTACCAATCTCATGTTTTCCTCAAATATTATGTCAACATCTACAGTGACTGAGCTTGGCACATAATGCCAATTTATGGATTATGTAACCCACAAATTGGAGTGGGGGAAGGTACCTTCAGTATGTTCTTCACTTCTGCTTTAAACTAACAACCTACTATTGCACTGTTTGCAATCTGTTATTGTGATAGCCAAAACTGGACATTCTGGGTTAAGGTTTAAACTAGCTCAAGTTAACCCAGCAACAAAAAATTGCTTAACTCTGAGTTGTTTAACCCACATCACTGGGAATAGGCAAGATATACATAAATTGAATAACTAAATGAAAATAATTAAATAATAATAGGATGTTAATTGAAAGTAGAAGAGAAAGGTGTGCAGGCAGCAATATACTTTCTTGCTCCTACTTATGCAAGACAAGCCAGTTTAAATAACTCATGGGTTGTCAATAGGTGTGAGCCAGGTCAATATACCATCATAAATCATGACATGTCACTCTTGTTTCACATACAGCACCAAATATTTAAAGTCAGGGCCTATATAAATGTTGATCAATTTTCAAAGTTTAATATTTTTAGGTTTTGGCACAAACAGTGCAACAGTTATAGGCAAGGACTGGGAAATCTCTTTCAACTCAAGGGCCAGATTCCATTTTGAAAAATCTCTTGGGGCCACATTCTAAATATCATTGGAGTGAAAGGCAAAAGGTGTGGGGCAACAAATACCAAAACAAACAAATGAACAAACCATAACTGCTTAAAGCAATCATTCATATCAAGGAAGCTTATGAGACATATTTCAACCATTTAGAATGGACAGGAAATGTACAAAACATGGTAAAACAGCAAATGATCGCAATTAAGAAAAAAGGGGAAACAACCATGCGGAGAACTTCAGAGACCTGTATCTAGCCCCTGGGCCACCTGAGGTGATATATAATATCCTGGTACAGGCATGCAAAAAATATTCCTTTTTTTTTAAAATCCTTTGATGATTAAAAGCAACAGTCAGCAGGAAGTTACAAGTGCTAATAAAAGCAATCAAGCAGCTTAAGGTAACAGTACTGTAAAAATTGTGAGCAGTGAAAACTGGCAGCAGTCATCATATATAGCTCTACAACAAATAACAAAACTCCATGTATATTTTTTAT